CCGCATTTGCTCCAACCCCTCAGACAGAGACAAACACCTACAAGATCTCTGTCAAGCTTTCTTACAACTACAATACCCACCTGCAGAAGTAAAGAAACAGATTGATAGAGCCAGAAGAGTTCCCAGAAGTTACCTACTACAGGACAGGCCTAACAAAGAAAATAACAGAACGCCACTAGCGGTCACCTTCAGCCCCCAACTAAAACCCCTCCAACGCATTATGAAGGATCTACAACCTATCCTAAAGGATGACCCAACACTCTCACAAGTCTTGGGAGACAGGCCAGTCCTTGCCTACAGACAGCCCCGCAACCTGAAGCAAATACTCACCAACAACCACATACCACACAACAGAACCACTAACCCAGGAACTTATCCTTGCAACAAAGCCCGTTGCCAATTGTGCCCACATATCTATTCAGGGGACACCATCACAGGGCCTAATAACATCAGCCACACTATCAGAGGCTCGTTCACCTGCACATCCACCAATGTGATATATGCCATCATGTGCCAGCAATGCCCCTCTGCCATGTACATTGGTCAAACTGGACAGTCTCTACGTAAAAGAATAAATGGACACAAATCAGATGTCAAGAATTATAACATTCATAAACCAGTCGGAGAACACTTCAATCTCTCTGGTCACGCAATCACAGACATGAAGGTCGCTATCTTAAAACAAAAAAACTTCAAATCCAGACTCCAGCGAGAAACTGCTGAATTAGAATTCATTTGCAAATTGGATACTATTAATTTAGGCTTAAATAGAGACTGGGAGTGGCTAAGTCATTATGCAAGGTAGCCTGTTTCCTCTTGTTTTTTCCTACCCCCCCCCCCCCCAGATGTTCTGGTTTAACTTGGATTTAAACTTGGAGAGTGGTCAGTTTAGATGAGCTATTACCAGCAGGAGAGTGAGTTTGTGTGTGTATGGGGGTGGGGGGGATGTGAGAAAACCTGGATCTATGCAGGAAATAGCCCGACTTGATTATGTAAAGAGTTGTCACTTTGGATGGGCTAGCACCAGCAGGAGAGTGAATTTGTGTGGGGGGGTGGAGGGTGAGAAAACCTGGATTTGTGCTGGAAATGGCCCACCTGTTGATCACTTTAGATAAGCTATTACCAGCAGGACAGTGGGGTGGGAGGAGGTATTGTTTCATATTCTCTGTGTATATATAAAGTCTGCTGCAGTTTCCACGGTATGCATCTGATGAAGTGAGCTGTAGCTCACGAAAGCTCATGCTCAAATAAATTGGTTAGTCTCTAAGGTGCCACAAGTACTCCTTTTCTTTTTGCGAATACAGACTAACACGGCTGTTCCTCTGAAACCATTCATAAACCAGTCGGAGAACACTTCAATCTCTCTGGTCACGCAATCACAGACATGAAGGTCGCTATCTTAAAACAAAAAAACTTCAAATCCAGACTCCAGCGAGAAACTGCTGAATTGGAATTCATTTGCAAATTGGATACTATTAATTTAGGCTTAAATAGAGACTGGGAGTGGCTAAGTCATTATGCAAGGTAGCCTGTTTCCTCTTGTTTTTTCCTACCCCCACCCCCCCCCAGATGTTCTGGTTTAACTTGGATTTAAACTTGGAGAGTGGTCAGTTTAGATGAGCTATTACCAGCAGGAGAGTGAGTTTGTGTGTGTATGGGGGTGGGGGGGATGTGAGAAAACCTGGATCTATGCAGGAAATAGCCCGACTTGATTATGTAAAGAGTTGTCACTTTGGATGGGCTAGCACCAGCAGGAGAGTGAATTTGTGTGGGGGAGTGGAGGGTGAGAAAACCTGGATTTGTGCTGGAAATGGCCCACCTGTTGATCACTTTAGATAAGCTATTACCAGCAGGACAGTGGGGTGGGAGGAGGTATTGTTTCATATTCTCTGTGTATATATAGTCTGCTGCAGTTTCCACGGTATGCATCTGATGAAGTGAGCTGTAGCTCACGAAAGCTCATGCTCAAATAAATTGGTTAGTCTCTAAGGTGCCACAAGTACTCCTTTTCTTTTTGCGAATACAGACTAACACGGCTGTTCCTCTGAAACCTGTAAAGATAATGCTTCCCATAGCACTCTCACCGCTGCCTTTCAGTTCTTCCCCTTTGATCACCACAATAAAGAGTACCTCAGGGAGAGCTCAGTGGCTTCCCTTCCCTAAAGTGGGTGGAGTTCAGCAGTTAGGATGAAAAAGGGCAGTGTTGGGCAGTCAGAGGAAATTTTACATCTTTAAAACCCTCTGATTCCTGCTCTCAAAAATGCCTCAGGAAAATGGCCTTGCTATACTACTGTGAGGTCTGCCAGTGGCCCCCCTCCCCCAGCATCTTGTATCAATGGTGCCACAGAGAACACAATGAAGGTCCATAGAGGTGTATAATAGGAATGATATGGAGCATTGTGGGCACTATGAAACTAAAAGTTTTTGTTAGGATGGGTTAGGTATTGTTATATTCCCTGTGACTATGGCCATCTCCCCAGTAGCGGAGTTAAGGTTGTGTGGTGTGTATGGTCTAGGAGAGGTTACCTTAACTGTGCCTTTCCTTGTTCTCTGGGGGTGAGTCTGTGAGGAGTGCATCTACTAGAAGGAGGCAGAAAGGGGGAAGGGACCCCAGAGTCCCTACCCCACATCCGTGTCCAGTGAAGGGGCTCTGCGTGTTCCTCTGTAGCATAGGAGACTTGCAGAGGTGTGGAATCAGAAAATCCCGTGAAGATTAAAATAGCTTGAAAGAATAGCTCCGAGAGGTGTGAACCACCCCATTCATCCCAATGGGTGTTCTTGTCCCTCATCTCAACAGTGGGTGCCTATGGCTTGCACTGAACCTGCTTCTTCTCAGTTCCCCTAGTCTCAGCGTGGTGTGACTGTGGCATGTTCAGTGCATGCTCCAAGAGAGGTCCCAGTTTCAGTGCTGTGTTCCTGTGCTAGGCATCAAGAATGCCTGTTCGTAGTTCCCCCTAACCCCCAGTCATATCTGTGAGCCCGTGTTGTGCAACAACTTTGCTCCTTTCAGTCCACTCAACACGTAAGCCCGCTAGTCTCTGTGATGTTCCTTCAATGGGGCATCTCACAATAAGTAAAGTGAAGCAGCTAGACAAGTGTTTGCAGGATCAGGTCCGTATACTGTCACAGTTTTGGAATCCTCTGCAAGTTTATTATGTCTGAAGTTTATTATGTACAGAATTCTGAATTGAATTTTTTTCAGATTTTTTTAAAAGTTGTAAATATTTCTCCTAAAATACAGTTAAGGATCTGAAAAAGTCAGCCTGCACAAAATATAGTATCTCCCAAACCCAAAAGCATCCATTTCAAAGTGGGAATTATTTGAAGAAAACCAGAAAATTGCTCACACATTTCTTTTCTACATGCATCAGACATTCCCCATTATTCCTTGCATAGAGCAAAATGAAAAGGAGTACTTGTGGCACCTTAGAGACTAACCAATTTATTTGAGCATGAGCTTTCGTGAGCTACAGCTCACTTCATCGGATGCATACCGTGGAAACTGCAGCAGACTTTATATATACACAGAGAATATGGCCCAACCTGATGATCACTTTAGATAAGCTATTACCAGCAGGACAGTGGGGTGGGAGGAGGTATTGTTTCATATTCTCTGTGTATATATAAAGTCTGCTGCAGTTTCCACGGTATGCATCCGATGAAGTGAGCTGTAGCTCACGAAAGCTCATGCTCAAATAAATTGGTTAGTCGCTAAGGTGCCACAAGTACTCCTTTTCTTTTTGCGAATACAGACTATCACGGCTGTTACTCTGAAACCTGTCATAGAGCAAAATGTGAGACTAATTTTCTGGTTTCCTTCAAATAGTTTCTGTTTTGAAAGTGCTGCATCTTTTTGCTTGCTTGGTATGCCTGGGGCTCTGCTTTTCTTTTTTTCTAGCCAGATATCAGAAGACAGATGTATGTTGAAAACAACTTTAAAAAGGGATATTAAACATTTATTTAGGCCCTGGTCCTGCAATTGGATCCATTCAGACAGGACAGCCCAGAGTCTGTTTGATGTAAATCCTCATTGACACAAGTCTGATTGCATCCATCCTTTTGCAGGATTGAGGCTTTTAGTGCTCTTTTCAGCTCTTACAGGAGCTGAATTAACTGCTCTGAAGTCCTCTGTTTATCTGAGTCAGGGGACAGCCATGATAGCAGCAGGCCAGGCTTCCCACACCCTCATGCTGTGCTTGCTCTGCCTGTTCCGTTTTATTAGAAATGTTTATATAGATTTAAATGAAAATATTTTTGGTTTGATTTAAACATCCCCCTGCAGTGTTTGCAAGACAATCTCTGCAGTTCCCGACATGAGAACCTGTGAGTAACATTCACTATAAAGAAGTGGGGGGAAATCACACCCTTTAACAAAGACATGCATACACACATATATGAAATATTATTGTATACAGGATGGGACATGTAGCATTGCAGGGGGAAGGTGTTTGGAGACCTCTGGCTGGAGGTCAGGCAATTAATCAACAGTGAGAGACAGAAAGATATGTGACCGCACCCTTTGCAAGGAACACCTACAAAAATCTCTATCCACTACCCGCGCTCAGTAATCTAGGTGAGAGTTATTAAGTGGTTTTATAAGGTTTATTTTTAACAAAGGCTAGGAAGATTTGTAAAGTGCGAATCCAAAATGAGGGACTGTCCCTCCAAAGGAGTGAGATTTTGGCAGGGCTGCCTAGCTTGAAGGTCTGACTTAAGGCAATCAGCACAAACCACCGGGGGCTCCTAAGAGTGTGTTCCAGGATGGGGCAGTTGATACCTCGTCAAGCTTGTATTGTTATCAGCTGTCTCCAGACTGACACTATTTCACATTTCGCAGCTCCTCCCCCTAGCCCCTTCCACGAAGGCTGGAAACTATTTGTTTAATGAAAAAGGAGGACTTGTGGCACCTTAGAGACTAACCAATTTATTAGAGCATGAGCTTTCGTGAGCTACGTAGCTCACGCTCAAATAAATTGGTTAGTCTCTAAGGTGCCACAAGTACTCCTTTTCTTTTTGCGAATACAGACTAACACGGCTGTTCCTCTGAAACCTCTATTTGTTTAATGAGTACTTGTGGCACCTTAGAGAGGAACCAATTTATTTGAGCATGAGCTTTCGTGAGCTACGACTCACTTCACGCTACACTACAGCTGTAGCTCACGAAAACTCATGCTCAAATAAATTGGTTCCTCTCTAAGGTGCCACAAGTCCTCCTGTCCTTTTTGCGAACACAGCCAAACACGGCTGCTACTCTGAAACCTATTTGTTTAATGAATGCAGGGAAGCTGATTTCAACCATGCTACTACCCCAGCAGCAGCCCGGCTCTCTGATGCGTCTTTCAAATGTTTTGGTGTCTGCAAACTCTAAGCGTGCTGCAATGATCTTTGCTCTCAGGAGTGATCTACTTAAGGCAGCGGGCGCCCGTCGCTGCCGTCGCACCGCTTCTGTAGGCAAAGTTCCCCACGCGCGTGTGAGCGTTTGCGGGATCAGCCGCGCAGCGGGCACCAGGCAGCTTGGCCCTTGCAGAGGGAGCGGTAAGAGCAGAAGGAAGCAGCGATGTGTGTTGCCACACGGGCTCTCTTTGCGGCGGGACTGCAACATGGCTGCTCCCATGCCATGAAGCAGGAGCTCTGCAACCCTGGGGCTGAACTCCTGCTTTCGCCTTCCTAGCAGCCTACCTGCACGGCTGGCCCCGCGCCTCTGGGCCGGCCAGGGTTTGGGGGCAGAGCCGAAGGGCGTGAAGCCTCCCCTTTGGAGTGGATCATGTTTTCCAAGGCCTTCAGGGTGAAATCCAACACTGCCATCAAAGGGTCTGATAGGTGAGTGGATTATGTTAATTTCACGCCAGGCCCACGGTGAGATTTCTAGGGTAGCTGGCATGAGTTACCTTCTGCTGCGTTGCCTGGTTAGGTCAGGTGCAGACACAAGCTTGAACAGGAGCGATTTCGAAGAGGCACGAGTCGGATTTTACATCTTGCTGAAGAGCAGACCGCAATATCCTGCATTACAAGAGGGGGAGGCTTATTATTATTTTTTTTTTTAAATGCCATTCCTGAGAGTCTGCAACGTATCGCCTTCCTCATAACTGAAGCTAGGCTGTGGATTCTTTTTCTGTCGTGTTGGCATACACGCGTTGCCAGATGGACTGCACCCAAGGACGGGTTACACAGTCCAGCTGAAACAGATGGGCTTTAAATAATGTGGCAGTTTCTGAGTCATGTTGTGAGGCAAATTTTGAAGGCTTTTTTTTTTTTTTAAAGCAGGAAAACCTCCCTTACCGTATTTCTGCTAGCCTGTGGAAGTCTATTTGTAATATTTTGTGTGATGGCGCAGTGAACGTATTAATACGTAAAATATTTGAAACACAGGGTGGGTGAGGGAATATCTTTTATTGGACCAACTTCTGTTGGTGAGAGAGACGAGCTTCCGAGCTTACACAGAGCTCTACAGAAGTTGGTCTAATAAAAGATATAACCTCATCTCCATACTATCCGGGGACCGCATATTTTAAATATTTGTAATAATACAAACCAAGTCCACTAAGAGCCTTACAGCACAAAGGTAGCGTTCACTAAATTCAGTCAATACTGGTGTTTAACTGAAGATGCCTTCATAGCAAAACAAAATTTAAATGTTTTTACATGAATAACTTATCAGCCTGGGGATGACATCGACTAGCTACACTGTAGTTTAAAACCCCGCGGGCCCTGTCTCTGCTAGGATTTTACATTGAGATAACTGTCTTAAGTTAAAACAACAAGGAGTCCTTGTGGCATCTTAGAGACTAACATTTATTTGGACATAAGCTTTCGTGGGCTAGAACCGGCGTCATCAGATGCATGGAGTAGAAAATACAGTAGACAGGTATAAATACACAGCACGTGAAAAGATGGCAGTTGCCTTAGACACCAGCATAGGACCTAACCACATCAGCCACACCATCAGGGGCTTGTTCACCTGCACATCTACCAATGTGATATATGCCATCATGTGCCAGCAATGCCCCTCTGCCATGTACATTGGCCAAACCGGACAGTCTCTATGCAAAAGAATAAATGGACACAATCAGACATCAAGAATTGTAACGTTCAAAAACCAGTAGGAGAGCACTTCAGTCTCCCTGGACACTCAATAACAGACTTAAGTGGCCATTCTTAAACAAAAAAACCTTCAAAAACGGACTTCAATGAGAAATGGCAGAACTAGAATTAATTTGCAAACTTGACACCATCAAATTAGGCCTGAATAAAGACTGGGAGTGGCTGGCTCACTACAAAAAAGAATTTTCCCTTTGTTGATACTCACACCTTCTTGTCAACTGTTGGGAATGGGACATATCCACCCTAACTGAATTGGCCTCGTTAGCACTGACCCCCCCGCCCCCCCCCCCCCTTGGTAAGGCAACTCCCATCTTTTCATGTTCTGTATATTTATACCTACCTACTGTATTTTCCACTCCATGCATCTGATGAAGTGGGTTTTAGCCCATCGAAGCTTATGCCCAAATAAATTTTAGTTTTTAAGGTGCCACTGGAGGAACCCCTCCTTGTATTTACTGATATAGACTAATACAGCTACCCCTCTGAAGCCTGTCTTGAGTTAACTATCTCATAGTAAACACGTACTTTTTTAGCAGTGAAGACATAGCTTAAGTTAACCAATGGCCTTTACCTGAAAGAAGGCTTGGGGTCCCAGTTCACTGTGGCCGTGTACATTCGTGTTGTCACTTACACCCGTGCAAAGTGAGTGTAGAATTCTACCAGTCTGATTTGCTCATGTTTTACTCCCAGTTTGTGCTGGTGTGAATGACCCCAAAAAGGTTCAGGACAACCACAAATCGGGCCCTCCATCTTCAGATAGATGCGTTTTTACTAACAGCTTTGCTGATGTAGAATTGTATGTTTGTTTGTGACCGTTGAAGAAGGGCTTCAGCCTGCAAAGCAGGTGGAACGTGGCCTGAATGAACAGGAGGCAAAATGTGAACTGACTATTACCCCCCAGCTCCTGTCCCATTTTTTCACAGTTGCTATCTGGTCAACCTACCCCTGGAAGACCTCTGCGTACCCCTGGTTGAGAACCACTGCATAGCTAGGATCCCACCTGAGCCCATGTCTCCTTAGACATGACTAGTCTCTGCCTGTACCCTGTCCTTTAAAAATTAAATTAAATTAAAAAAAAAACACCCTTCCTTTTGCTCAGCACCGATTTATCTTTACAGGAGGAAATTGCGAACTGATGTTGCCGCAGCTTTTCCCTCCCTCAGCAGTGAACAGCTGTCAGAAGTTGTTCCAAACAGAGAGGAACTCAACGTAGTCAAACTGTATGCTCACAAAGGGGATGCGGTCACGGTATATGCCAACAACAGGAACCCAGTCCTTTTTGAAATGGAGAAAACTCTGTATCCAACAGGTATGAGATATGAAATAGAATATCTTTCCCAACCCTTCCTCCCTCTCAGACATAAAACTCTCCTACAAGTTCTGTACATGCCCATGTATTCAAGGTACTTGTATATGCCATTACTATAGTATCTGAGTGCCTCACATTCTGTAATGTATTTATCCTTACAATATCCTTGTGATGTAGGGCAGTATTATCCCCTATTGACAGGAAACTGAGTCACAGAGAGATGACTTGCCCAGGATCACACAGGAAGTGTGGGGTGGAACAAGAACTTAAACCCAGATCTCCCAAATCCTAGGCTACTGTCCTAACTGCTGGACCATCCTTCCTTTCTGGCCCCCTTACTGTAAGGCACAACTGCCATGAGTATGAAGTTCAACCTTCTTTATGTGGAATTCGGTGCGTGAAAGACTGAATTACCCTGATAAAATATGCCGGTCCATTGTTTTTCTCTGCCCACTCAGTGACTCTCCCATGTTATCATAACAACAATTCAGGTCAAAGCATCCTTGATTTAAAGAAGACAATGTCAAGATGTCCATAGATCATCTATCCATCCTTTTTTAACATCTACTGGAAGCTTGAAATTGAAATGTTAGTATTTTAGTTTGTCCGTTGTGAGTATCTACTGGCTTGTTGTTTTGATGCTGCTGGGCTGTGCAGCCTGATTTGTTGACCATCCATGTGAGAGAAGAATCTGGCTAGTTATAGTCAAGGGTGTGCTGCTGTAATTGTATTACTGGGGCTTGAAGATGGAGAGAAGCAACAGCTAGAGAAATCTGTAATGTCATGTTTTTAAAATCCGTTTTCTTTTGGACAGTTTATACTTTGTGGTCCTATCCAGATCTTCTTCCAGCATTCTCAACATGGCCCCCAGTGCTACAGAGACTAGCAGGAGGAGCAGGTAAGAGAATCAAAACACAATTACTTTGTGATACGTGTGTCACTTGCCTTGGGAAATTCATTCTTCTAATCTGTACTTTTTTTTTTAAGCTAATTTTTCTAGTGCAGGACAAGATTTTTAAGATCTTTAAAAAAAAAAAAAGCAGAAACTCACTGTTCAGAAGGGTGCACTGAAAGTGTGGGGGGGGGATTGTTTTTTTGGTCTCCTTAAAATGGAAAACCAATTAGCAACAAATAGAGTTTGCGAACTAAATATAATATATATATATAGGTCAATCTGTTCAAATGCGTTGATCCTTCCCATCTGATGGCTCTAGAGTTGGAATTTTGTCTGTTGTTCCTCTTCATGCATTGGTTAGAAAGATATTGATTTAACAGCCATTAACTGGGACACTGAAGTACGTGTTTCCTCATTCTGTAGCGTTTGTTGTAATTAACTTTCACAGGGTAACTAAATTTAAATGCTTTCATTTTGCTTTGCTTTAAGGGATATCTCTCTCTGTCTGAATTCAGTTTAAGCAGATGCCACTACATGTGCATATATTAAAGCTGGGCCCTGGCTGCAATCTCAGAGCTGATTCCCCGCTCCCTACATTTCGGATTGTGCACATCCTGTGGGAGTTACATTTAAATCCTTGGCTCTGAACTCAGCCCTGTGGGTCAGCACCAAAACCAGAAGAGTGTCTGGTTTTCCAGAATCCACTGTAGATACCATTCAGAATCCACTTTGGATGCTGGGTCATGCCATTCTGAGCTGAAATCTCATACAGCTCTCATGAGAGCTGTGTGTCCCCAAACCTTACTCCTGGCTTGACCTCAAACCTAAACCTGATCAGAATCTGAATGCTGTCTTCTCAGCATGTGTGGGGATGTGTGTCAAGAAGGGGGCTGCCTTTCACCCACCACATAGCCTGCCTCAGGTGGAAGCAGCACTGCAGTGGTACTTGAGGCCCTCTGCTTTGGGTGCCTGCTGCTTTATAGCCGAGGGGCCTGTGTGGACAACAGCCCCTGGTCCTGTGGCCTGCCACTGACATAGACAGCTGAGGAGTGTGTCTAGCCACTGACCGCTGTGACCGAGTTTGCACGGAGAAGGTCCTGTTGGTAGGAGAAGGAGGCTGATTAAAGTGGGGTTCAGGTCACTGGTCTCCCTTGGCAACCAGGCTGCCTCAACTGACTTCTGAGCCAGAGCCAAAGATGAGAGGGTGGCCCTGGAGACAGTAGCCATCATAGCAGGGGGGAGGGGCAGAGACACACTGATGCAGAAGCCTCTGGAAAGGGGGTGAGACTGCAGCAGCCTGGAGCTTGGGAGCAGGGAGCCAACTGTTGTGGTAAAGCCAAGGCAGTGCCACTCTGTACTATCTCTTCATTTGGCTCTAAGCATCCAGCCAGGTATTTTTGCCTTTATCGTTTGCTAGATATGTTCTGACATGTTACTTACTTCATCCTGTAGCACTGAGACCTTTGTGCGGCTCCTTCCCTTGCTCAGGAATTTCACAAATCAGTCACCATTTGGGAGCTAGGCTTGGATGCATGTTGCAGTGTTAGATTTGATGAAAGCTGCTGTAGCCGCAAAAAAAGGTGTTTGCTTCTGTGTGGGTATAAAAATCCATGATGCTGCGGAGCAAGGGGCCTGAAGTGTCTACTCGGATCAGACCACTCAGCCGTCCAGCCCTGCTCCTTGCCTCCGTCGGTGGCCAATATCCCAGGCTTCCGAGGTAGACAACCCTTGTAACCTACGATGGGAATGGTACAATGCTGTATTTGGCAAGGAGAGGGTTAACGCTGTGTCCCTGTGCAGTGGAAAGGTCACAGCTGCCTTCAGCTGGCCCAGCTGAGGCTAATTAGGCAATCATCTGTGCACCCTCAGAGAGCAGGACACTAAGGGGCCTGCACTGCCTTGTAGAAGAAGCTAGAACCTACTATCAGGATGAAAGAGAAAAAGGTTAGCTGGAAACACCCTCCTTTATTCCTCCCTCTCCTTTGCCCATGCCCTTATTTTAAAAATATGGGCTCAGTTGAGCTGCCCAAAGCCTTCCTGCTTTGGCTAATTTAATTTAACAACCGGGCTTGTTAGAGGGCTTATTCCTTCACCCACTTACTTCCCTGGTCCTTCTCGCATGAACAGAGAGCAACAATACCTGAAGTCCAAAGGTGCAAACAATTCGATGTTTATTGGGGTGAACTTCCAGCAAGCATGATTCCAATTTCCTTCCTTAGTATCCTCCTTCCCAGCTCTGACACCACAGAGCCTTACACCTGTGTCCCTGTTCCCATTCCTACCCTTAGCCAAACATGATTCCAATTTTCTTACCCCCATTCCCTGTTCCCATCTCCCACTTTAGCAAAACGTGATTCCAATTTTCTTACCCCCATTCCCTGTTCCCATCACACACACCCACATGCCCACCCCCACCCCCACCCCACCCCCAGTCACTTCCTCATTGACTACAGATTATATAGTGACAGGTTTCAGAGGAACAGCCGTGTTAGTCTGTATTCGCAAAAAGAAAAGGAGTACTTGTGGCACCTTAGAGACTAACCAATTTATTTGAGCATGAGCTTTCGTGAGCTACAGCTCACTTCATCAGATGTATACCGTTCCACGGTATACATCTGATGAAGTGAGCTGTAGCTCACGAAAGCTCATGCTCAAATAAATTGGTTAGTCTCTAAGGTGCCACAAGTACTCCTTTTCAGATTATATAGTAAAACTTGTTCTGCTTAGCTATACCTTAACCAATCATTTTCCTGAAATTTAACTAACCAATCCTAACATATTGTAACATGATTATGTAACCAATTATATCCCACCACCTTAATTAGTTTACACCCAGCAAAATTAATTATACAGCAGACAGGAACAATCACAGAACCAGACAGAGATTATACAGACAAACAATAGCAAAGTGGGAACTATAATGACAAAACAATACAGAAGTAAGGATTTCACATCCCAGCTATTGATAAGTGAGTTCTTGCCAGACAGGATGCTATCAAACTAAGTTTCCTTTTACATTTTCTAGGCACTTCCCTTTCTCTGGAGGTGATAGGAATACAGGACAGGATTGTATTCCTAACAGCCGAATAGCACCTTATTTCAGTGTGACTAGTTTGGAATGTGAGGATGTGACTGTTTGCTTCCCAGCTTATGGCTGCCTCTGCTGCTTAGCCAAAGGCCTTAGCCTAAGAACAGGGCCTCAGACTGTCACAGTAAGAGAAGGCCCTTACACCAGCAGACAGTGATTTTGATTCTTTCTTTTATACCTCTATCACTAGCCAAGTGATAAGAATACACCTAAATTCTTTGAGTATAGGCCTTTACAGACAGGCCTGAATATCTATATCCTAACAGGGCTGAATGAAGCCTTTTGACAGTAATGTACTGGATGGGCTCCTGGCAGAGTGTCTGAGCCCTGTTTTCTTGGTGCAGCATTTGCAGTGTTGGTGTGCAGAATTAGAAGCTTTTGGTGGAGGGCTTTACCTTTGAATCCATGGTGAGGGGCCAGCTCAGAGGTATTATGGGAAGGGAATCTTCTTCCATATGGAAAATACTCTGTGTGTGATGCACACGATTCCAAGTAGCTTTGCCTTTGTCAGCAGGATTGTTTTAGATAAGAGGCTGTGGTCTTGATCCACAAAGGTATTTAGGCTTTTGACTTCCATTGATTTCAACAGAAGTTAGGAACTTAAATACCTTTTCTGGATCTGGGCATATGTGTCAATGGTGCTTCTATTTTAATAGGGTGATAAGATGGTTTTGTAGGTCCTCTCTCCCCATCCCTACTCTTTAGATTGTGTATAGAAGGGTGAAGTATTTTCAAGTGTAGTAACCTAAGTGGTGGCTGCATCTCATTGATTGGCAGCTCGTTTTATGCTTCTGGCTTGTTTAATTTATGTTTTAGCTGATCCTGCCAATCAGTTTTTAAAGCACCTCAGTGAAAATTGCCTTGGTTTGAGCTTTAAAGCTAAGTGGCATGTGGCAGATTTTCTAACAGCCTCTGCCATTGCTTCGCTGAATTGTTTGGTGCATTGTAAGGGTTAGGGCAGGAGCCTGGGAGGCCGGCAGGTCTCCTGGGGTCTAGAGGAGTGTGGTGTAATGAGATAGAAAAGGGAAGTCTGAGAGTCAGGACGCTTGGGTTCTAATTCCATGCTCTTCTGCTGATGTGCTTTGTGAACTTGGGCAAATCATTTCACCTTGTAGTTCTCGGAAAATCCTATTTTCCTGTGCGTCACAAAAGGGAAGTGATGTTATTTGTAGAGACATGGAAAAAATCAACCTGCTTAGTGCCAATACCACAGATATGTCAGGACTGTATTTTAAGGAAAATGTGTGATTTCCACACTGCCCTGAAACGTAACGAATCAGACTAGAAAATGTCATCCTGAGACCAGAAAAATGGCTGGAAGGAAGTCATGGTCTTCTGCTAGATACCAGGCTCCTCTTGGGGGAGGAGGTGGGACAGGACTAGCTTCCCTCTTGGTAGCAAACAAACTTACTGCCAAGTTACTCAGTTGGTCCTTTACATAGAGTTCACCTCTTCCTCCTAATGGTCCCTTTGACCCTGACATTACCAGCTGCTGTACAGACACTCAGCTGTGTCTCGTGTGCTTTGGGACGTGAGGGTGACTCAGTACCCCCCTGAATCGGGCCGGTTATCCCACCCACTTCTGGAAGGAAACTGGAAAGTATTCTTAACTAGACAGCAGGCATGCAGGAGATTGTGTTTTACCTGGCATGTGCTTGGCTGTTGCCAGGGTTGTATTTTTGCTGAACAACAGAATGGCTGGAGGCAGAAGGGGTGGCTGGTTAGTCACTGCTTGCAACTGTTCTTTAAAGCAGAGTGCATGCTAACAGCTCTTTACTGTTTTATCTCAGATCTAATGCTGCCAGGAGTTATGGTGCCATCTTGTGGTCTTCCTCAGGTACAACAGGGCACTCTCTGTGCCATCACCCTGGTGGGAAACAGGTACAATTTATCTATAGTTTCTTACAATGAAGGAAGAAAAGTTGTATTTTTATGTGAGGATTTTGAGAGGGATTAGGAGAAACAAAATATGACGGTAGGCTCGGATTTTGGGAAATTCTGCAAAAAAATGTTTGCAATTTTGCTGTGGCATAATCATGAGTATCCTACAGATTTCTCTTTTGGTGGAAAATTTTGCAAATTGGATGGTTTTGAATCATACAATGCATAACGTTCAAATAAATACAAGATTTTTCTTTAAAGTTGAGGGTTGTGTTTTGAAAGAGGATCATTTTTAACAAAACAATGAAATTCTGCTCAGTTTTTTCTCTTGGACATGGGCTAATTTGTCCTCTGAAGTATGGGGGGGGCAGGGACCACAGAATTTACCGGTGTTGTTGGGGTGGGTTGGTTTGTTTGTTTTTTTGTGAACGCAGATAACTTTAACAAATTTAAAAGAACGCCTAAACCCTGTAAATTCAAAGCTTTTTTTCCAAATGTTGTTTTGACTGCTCTTTGCAACCCTGTAAATTCGTCTCCTCCTAAGGAGAAAGGCAGGTAAGTAGCTGGCACACCCAGTACATAAGAATGGCCGTTCTGGGTCAGACCAATGGTCTATTTAACCTGGTATCCTGTCTTCTGACCAGGGTGGATTTGATTTAAATCAAATTAGAAGCTTTTGGAAGGTTCAATTTAATCATGGATTTCTACATAAAAGTGAATTCTTGTTAGTTCTAACCTTAATACATATTCTTCACAACTCAGAGATAGATGTAGGTTTGATTTTTAGAAGGTACACACTATAAATTTTTAAAGTGATTTATTTTGAAAACTTTTCAGATGAGTTTTACAGCTATATCAGAAAATGAATGATTGATTGGTTATTTCATTTAGCAAAGGTAATTGTAGCAGATATTTATGAAGTCATTGGGAGGTGAACTATCTCCAGTTCAACAGGTTAATCATTAATATTTGGAAGATTTTCTTGTCATGCTGTGTTAGGAGGAGAACATCACCAGACAGACATTTAAATTGTTTTATTTAACTAAAACAACATTATGTAGTCTGGATTCTTGTCTTCAACAGCAAATGTGATATTTTAACAAAACAAGCATATGAACGTTTGAATTTAGTTAAACATTCAAGTTTTTTAAAATCAGGTTTGTTTTTAAACTAAAATAGTTAAATGAAATATATTTTAAAAAAAAAACAACCATCACCACCACTTTTGCTGTTAACAAACATGTTATCTCTGGAGACACAAATCCACAGTTTGAGAACTGCAAAACTAAGCATCTCTGATGGTATCTTCTAGACTGAGCACTGAGTCCCATTGGATAGATAGAAAGATTAATCTATACAGAAGTCCCTGGAACCCCATAAGATTAGTTCCCTAATCTATGAACTATTGGAACTCATTTACAAAACTTTTCTTAAACATTACATGTTTATTGTCTCATATATTGTCTCATACTATAGAATTTATAATCCCTGTTACATTATAGCTCAAAGATATCTCATCATGGATCTTAACTAAAACTATCTTTAGATAGTTTTTCCTCAAAAAGCATTTGACCAAACAATCCGATTTTTTGTATATTTAAAATATTGTTGATTTTTATCCACTCTGCTTCCGACAGTGGCTGGTACCAGATGCTTCAAAGGGAATGAATAGATCAGGGCAACTTTTGGGTGATACCTCCCCTGTTGTCCAATCCCAGCTTCTGGCACAGAGAAAAGTATGTTAAGAAAGGGTGACTGTTCAGTGACAATTCATGTGGGGTAGTATTGGGAGAAGACCTTGCATACTAGAAGGGAGTGGGTGAAACTAGAAGATGTCCCGAAGCCTTGAAATTGCAGAGCGTAAAGAACAGATTCAGGGTAAAACTATCATACAATAGTAATTAGCCTCCATTATCAAGGACATTGTGAAAGAAAGTGAATGTGCTATGGTGGCTTAAGAGTCATGTGTTCCAGGTAGCGTGAAAACTTTGCTATTTCCCATTCTGATACTGTTTTCTCAGAGCCCCAGTAGCAGTAGGAGTCGCTACCATGCCCACTGCAGAGATGCTGGCTGCCGGAATGAAAGGGAAGGGCTTCATCGTGCTGCATGCTTACACAGACCACTTATGGTGAGTATGCAGACAAGGGTACAGTGTATCATAGAAAATGAGATGAGTGAGTACCGGGTCTGAAATACTGCCTGGAACCTGTTGTAGTAATTGGCCCTACAAATTTACCCTAACTTTGAGCTCGGCCGTAAGAGCTGAGAGAGAGTTCATGGAATGCCACAATAACCTATAACCACACATGTTGACAGGAAAAGTTGCAAAAGCAAGGCAGGCTGAATTAGTCCAGACAAAAGGGCTATGGGTATAAACCAGGACAGCGTTAAGGTCATGCCTGATAAACAAGAAAAGCTAAAACCAAAAAAATCATGAGTCAGAACTGGGGTGTCAGAAACTATGCGTAATTGGTGGACAACATAATGAGGGGATGGGCTATTCCACCAGCCACTGCCTTTTTGGGGCCTTTAAAGGGATAGACAGGGGGTAGAATAAATTGGCTACTGGAGCAAGCTTCACCCTCTTGGCTGCCACCCCCACTATTTCCTGGGACTTCAGACCACCTCATTTCTAACCCTGAGAGATGTTCTGATCAGACTGGCCCAGAGAGGGAGCCAGGTGACCACTGCCACCTCCACTGGCTCCAGTTCATTTCTGAATACCACCTGGAATGCAAAACTTAGCCACCCCCTTGCAAAATGTGTCCTTTTCCTTCCCTACTGTATTGCTTCTCTTTTCTATCCCACTCCTTTTTTCCTTCTGTCTAATAAGAGCCTGGCTTAGCCAGCCAAGACTGCATGTTTTGCAACACTGCTGTAAGTTTATGTCCAGAAAGAGACAGCTAAAAGCAATGCCTTAAGCAGCCCAATGCTGGTACAGGTTTGCCAGGATTTGGAGTAGCTGGTAAGACCAGGTGCTGGACTTGTATTTTTCCAGTAGTGAGGTTGCAAGTGAGAAACAACACCAGAGACAGAAGCTGCATTTTCTATCTGTGCTGCTGTTTTTTCTGCCCTTTTTCGTGTGTGCGTTTTGTTTGATCTTCTAGGAAACAAGAGTTGGCTTTAATAGCAGCAGCGGCAACAACCCATCTCAACTAACTTCTTCTCATTTCCCCAAAGGGACAGTTGCTACCATCTTGAATAGCATTTAAGAGATTGTCGAACAGAGGGGATTTCCCCCCCCAAAACCTCTCTCCAGGGAAAGGGCACAAGGGATATTGTTTAAAATTAAAGCCTTCTTTAATACTTAACATTTCAAATACTTTAACGTAGTTTTCCTTATTTTCTGTATCTTGAGTAAAAGAATTCTTAATGGTGTGTTTGCTGTGGTACTAATCAATCTGAGATTTCCATATACCAAATCCTGAACCTCATTTAACAGTGTTTATTGTTTGTGACTGGGTCATGTTAACATCTTAGACTCTTTGGGCCCATTTGTTCCATCTAAGTTAGTACAGGACGTTTAGATCGCAGCAGAGTCAGTGTAGATACACAGTTAGATACTCTTAGGGGGCATATTTTGGGTGACCCCATAGCAATAGATGTCTGATCTGCTCCATGTGCTGTGGGAATTTTAACATCTACTTCTAGTCAGAGAAGGGGTTTGCCCTGATGTCCTTTTATGTGCATGTGCACGTAAACACAGGATATTGGAACTAAATCTCTAGTGAAACTTCTTTAAGCTTAATGGAGTTGCATCATGAACAATTTGGCCCATTGTTGTTACTCTGCCTTAATTTAGTACCTTTTTGCTCTGCATTAAGTGTGCGCTGATTTTCATTTAAAGAAAAGGTATATCCAAATCTTGACTCCCATTTTCCCTAGAGAACGCCCTCTGCTGGGACTTTCAGTAACCACCACCCCAGCCTGTTATCTTATAAAACGTGTGTTCTGCGGAAGGAGGTTGCGACAGCTTTCACTCTTACTGGTGTCCACAGGGAGGCACTTTGGGTGTGTTCCCTTATTAGAACCCTGCAAGAGCCTGTCTTTTTTTCAGAGGTTCATGGCCTGAGGTCAGCTGGGGTCAAAATGTAGTGCCATTTGAATGGCTGTTTGGCCTACGTGAAATGAATTAGACGTGAGTGTGTCTCAATCCAGTCCCTGATGTTCAAGTACTCGTGTCACAAAACCACCATCCCGCCCGGCACTAGCTGCCCTCCTTGTTTGGAGGTACAGGTCGGAGGCCCACACCTGAATGAGCCATGGAGACTCCATAGCCCTCTTGGCTCTGGTAGGACAAAGCCACCGATTAGAGTTAAGGCATGGTGTGGGAGAAGTTTGCACTGCTGCCGATTGTGTTATTCCTGTTGTGTAGATAAAGAGAGGACTCGGGCCTCCTGGACTAACCAAGCTGGTGCTTATCATGGGTACCAGTTTCACCACAAGGGGTTTTAAAAATAAAAATGGAGTCATTTGGGGACAGCAATAGCATGATGTGCTGTAGGCTTGGCAGTGGCAAGTTACCTCTTAGTGGACCTGGGATCCTGACTGGCCTGCTTTGGGGCTGGCCAGTAGCTCCAAAACACCCAAAACCCGCCTTATAGTGAGAGGCTTAAGGAGTTCAGCCTACTTAGCTTATGGAAAAGGATAAGAAGTGGTTTGATGAATCTAGAAGCACAGTACCTATGTGGGGAGGAGATTTCTGAAAATAGAGGCCTCTAATTTAGCAGACAAAGGTATAATGAGCCCCAATGGCTAGAAGCCAAATTCAGATGAGAAATAAGGTGCACACTTCTCATAGCAAGAATAATTAACCATGGGAACAACTTACTTACCTGGGAGTGTGGTGGATTCTTCATCACTAGATGGATCTGTATTTTCTCACTCCAAGAGTTTGTAACAGTTAGCTGGGACTGGCCAGGCTTTTCGGCACAGGATGTGTCACAGCTATATGGGGAACCATCCTGTATGAAGAGAGTAAAGAACCATCAATAAAGCGACTTTATGCTTTTTATTGTTTTTAAAGGGGATTTGGAGACAAGTCTTACCCACCCACAATAGCTCCCTTGGTAGCAGAGCCTGCGGAGCTGGAAAGCACGGATGAGGATGACAAAGACGAGGAGGGACGGGAGCCTGGCAACGACCTCTCCATTGCCCCATTGCTACAAATGGACATTGGCAATTTGAACCTGCAGGAGGGAGATGGCTGTGCAAGGCTGATGGAGGAGGAGGAACCGGGTGAGACTGGAGCTGCAGAAATGGCTGAAGATATCACCAAGGTTCAGCCAGAAACAGAAGATGGCAGAACTCCACAAGGTACTACAGCATGAAAATGAAACCAAGTTGTATGTCTATGCAGTTGTCACTTCTGTATTAGATTCCCGTGTGTTCCTGTTACTTGGCTAGACATAGCAAGCCTTACATATACTTCAGCTCGCACTGAGCGCAGCTGCCCAGTTCTTGAACAACGGAGGGACATGGAGCCCACAATCCTTTGAAAAGCGCTGTAGTAACTGCTGTGAACCAGGGCATTCATGCAGAAATCATTGCGTGCATAGCGTGGCTCCTTGGGTACCATGCTGACCTAAACACACCTCCCTTTCCTCAGAGTATTCCATGAATACTGCATGCAGATGTGGTCGCCCCATCTCCAGAAAGATATATTAGAACTGGAAAAGGTTCAGGAAAGGGTAACAAAAATCATTAGGGGTATGGAATGGCTTCCGTATGAGGAGAGAGTAATAAAACTGGGACTCTTCATATTGGAAAAGGGGGGAGATGATCGAGGTCTGTAAAATCATGACTGCTGTGGAGAAAGTAAATAAGGCAGTGTTTACTCTCATAACACAAGAACGAGGAGTCACCAAATGAAATGAATAGGCAGCAGGTTTAAAACAAACAAAAGGAAGTATTTTTTCACACAACACACAGTCAACTGTGGAACTGTTTGCTAGAGGATGTTGTGAAGGCCAAGACTATAACAGGGTTCAAAAAAAGAATTAGATAAATTCATGGAGAATAGGTCCATCAGTGGCTGTTAGCCAGGATGGTGTCCCTAGCCTGTTTGCCAGAAGCTGGAAATGGGCGATAGGGGATGGATTGCTTGATTACCACCTGTTCTACTCATTCCCTCTGAAGCACCGGGCATTGGCCACTGTCGGAAGATGGACACTGGGCTCGATGGACCTTTGGTCTGATGCGGTATGGCTGTTCTTATATTCAGTCTCTTGGCTGTCCCAGAGATTTGCCTGGTAGTTGATGGGCAGGCAGCAGTTCAGTAGCAACCTCATGCCTTAGCTGCTGAGCACATGTCTGGGTGGGCTGAATTCTCCTCAACTTCAGTGAGGTGAAGGTTCTCGGCATGCTGTGTGGTCTGGGCTCTATGGAACTGTTTTGCCTGAAGCTGCTGGAGCTGACAACGTGATGGTCTTTCAATCCAGTACCAAAACTTCCCTCTTTTGGTTCCGCTTGTGTTACGAGATGCATTGAAGTGATTAGGGCATTGAATTGAGAGGATATGTGGATTCTATTCCTGGCTGTGCCACTCACCTTCTGTATGACTGTGGGCAATGCACTTCTCCTTGCACCTCCATTTCCCCATCTGTATAATGGGGATGATGATACTCATCTTAGTAAAGCGCTTTGAGAGATGTATGAATTAGGCTCAGTGAAACTGTTGTGGGAGCAGCGCCAAAGATTCCATGCTCAAAGAATACCCTGGGTGATGGTGTGCTTTAGAAAGCACCCTCTGGCATACTGCAGAAAATCTAGTGTTCAAGTACTGTAGTTCATGACATGGTATAGATAATACATAGCTTCACAAATGTTGCTGAAGTGTGTGTGATAAAGAGAGACACACCTACCTCTTGGGTAGATAAGGTGAGCCCAAGATGGGACTACAGTGGGAGATATTAATTTTTCAGCCAAGCTGGTCTCAAATGTAAGCAATTCCGGTGTCCCGTTAGGAAGGAAAAACTTCTCTGTGACTGGTATACTTTTTTTTTTTTTTAAACTGAGAATTTCAGCCCAAAGGTCCATATTTGTAAAAGCGGTTTCCCCTGAGCAAAAGTTGCCCTGGTGTGGGGCTTTTCTGGAGCACTTCTTACAATAAGTGTCCCCCTTTCTGGGCTCAAAACATAAATTCCCTGTTAGGCGGGAGTGCCATTTTTGGAATCTTAAACTAGCAGCAGCATTCTGTAGAAACGATATATGTATATAAACTCCTCACAGACAGCGCACTGCAAACAAACCACTTTGGGAAAGTGCTTTTCAAAGGATTGCAGGCTCCATGTGCCCAAGTTCACAGAGGGAAAACAACCCACCTGAGTGAAGTCTGAGAAGTAGCTCCCTGTTTCATTGCCTGTAGTAGGGCTAAGCAATAAGCATGGCAAAAAAGTCAGAGTTTGGCCTATGGTATTTAAAGGGAATTGTATTTAAAACAGATTTATGTAACTGGACTCAGTTCCACTTCATAACAACTCAGACTGTTGATCTTCCTACTTTAATCTAGATAAAACCCTGAAGAGGGAAAGAGTGGGAGGTGAACACTATTATCCTTTTTTTATAGATGGGGAAATGTTGGGCACAAGGGAGGTTAAGTGACTATCCCAAGGCCACAGCGGAGAGATGGCATCAGCACTAGGATTAGACTGTACAAGATCCTGGCTCCCGGTCTTGCTGTTTAGATGTGTTGAATGTAGGGTGACCAGATAGAAAGTGTGAAAAATCAGGACGGGGGTAGGGGATAATAGGTGCCTATATAAGAAAAATTCCCAAATATCGGGACTGTCCCTATAAAATCGGGACATCTGGCCACCCTAGTTGAATGTAATGTGTACATCAAAATGATTTAACATTGTAAGGTGCAAACTCAGAGGAATCAATACAAAAATAAATGAGACCTCATTCTCGTGAGAGCGCTCTCCCTTTCTGCACAGAGGCCCATGAGAAATATTTGTGTTTCTACAGAGCAAATGGATGAATTACTGCATCAATGTTTTTTTCATGCCTTAAAATGTAAAGTGAAGAAGTCAGACCTTCCGCTACTGACCAGCACCTTCCTGCGCAACCATATGGTCTCATGCTGGTATGTGGTAAGAAGACCATCCTTGGGTTTGCATGGTGGGTTTTTTGGGTTTAAATGAAATTGTTGTGGGACAGTGAGATTTAGGATGAAGCTGCTGCCTTTCGTGTAATTCAGGTGTTTCTGGTGTATGTTTACACGAGAGTTCAATTTATTTGATTGCCAATCAACTCAAGTTGGCTAACAAGTTTATACATCCTACCCTGGACTCTGCAAGTGTTTGTTCCAGGATTGTCTCCCTCAATTTCCCTCTTCAAAAGTTCAACACACTATCGGTGGTTCCTAAAGTGGGGGTTCTGCCGTGGGTTATTTGGGGCGGGTATGTCCCTTGAGGAGTACTGCAGTGGGGTCAGAACGGTGTTCCAGCACTTCTGCTCCATGGAGGATGCCATTTTGTTCTCAAAATGGCATAGTCTGTGCACCATGACCTTGCACGCACCATGGATGAGAGGTCACGCCAGTGGGGGCATTCTGGTAGTGCCCATTCAGGACTACACCGCAAATTGTAGTTTAGGTGAAAATAGGGGGGATGTAATAACTGCAGACTGTTTACTTCTGGTTCCTGTGTGAGTCTATTATTTTAAAACTATTTATATATTTAAAATAAACTAACCTAATAGAAAAAATAAGAACATGAAACTTATGTCTAAAAACTGAAAGGGGTTTGGGAAGGTTAGTCAGATGGCAATGGGTCCTTGGCAGAAAAAAGTTAGGAAACCACTGTATATTACAGACGTGCCCTCTGCCTTGTTATGCCTAACACACTCGAATGTCGATTACAAAACTGACTCCATTATCTCTCACAATATGTTTAAATCCACTTTCCCATGTGTAATTCATATTCACACCACTAAGAAGCTTTTAGCACAGATATTCTTGAAAAGTGCATTTATCGTTAATCTTGCTAAACATAAAATATTTTTCCTTGGTGCCGGCTATTTGTTGTAACTTAAAGGGTTAATTGTTTACTCTGTTTGTAGCCCAGAAGGACAACAATTAGACCTAAAGAAATCAAGCTACAAGAAGGTGAGATTTCTTGATATTTACATTTATTTTATTTATTAAAATCTGGTAAAGTTCTTAGGCCCCCTTGTAAAGAAGCCCTTCCCAAAGACCATGGATTGTATTCTTTTCTCTCATCACTTGTTCAGTCTCACCTTGGTAGACTAACTTTTCCTGAAATCATTTGTCTGGGTCCATCAAATATTGCTAGCTCTGTCTATACCGTTTTGTGTTCGGGGAACACCAATCAAAACTGGGAATCCATTTTGCAAGGCACTGTCCATACACAGACTAGGAGATAGTCCCCAAAGAATTTAGGCTTGATCTAGACTAGAAAATTCAATATGACTGTTTCTCAGCAGTGTGAAAAATCCACACCTGAGTGGCATAGCTAAACTGACCTAATCTCCAGCGTAGATAGCTCTTGGTTGATGGAAGAATTATTCTGTTGACCTAGCCACTGCCTCTCGGGGAGTGGGATTACGGACGCCAGTCGGCATAGGCAGTGTTTACACTGATAGGTTTCAGAGTAACAGCCGTGTTAGTCTGTATTCACAAAAAGAAATGAAAGCTCACGAAAGCTCATGCTCAAATAAATTGGTTAGTCTCTAAGGTGCCACAAGTACTCCTTTTCTTTTTACACTGATAGGCTGCAGCTGTCCTGCTGAAGCATTTCAAGTGTAGACAAGCCCTTAGAAAGTATGATTATTCCTGTTGTCAAAGTCAGATTCAGGACTCACATAATTTGTCAGACCACTCTGTTTATTAGCAAAGCGCCTTGCTAATGCACCCACATGTGAGCCCCTCTCTGAGGCCCAAGATAACTTATTTATACAGCTAAGCCAAAGCCAATTTAACATAAGAGACAAAAGAAAGCAGAAACTGACAAATATACATACGTATCTTATTTGCATACTAACATTTACCAATCTCCTAGCTCAGTAGGAACTCTAAGTTAATTAGTTTGAGGACCCATTGTCTCACACTCCTTAATGTTTCTCTTCCTGACAACTATATTTCAACAAACTGTTCAAGTAGCATTTCTTTAATGAATTATAATTTCAATATAATTCATTCTACTTTCACAATCCCTCCTTTTGGTCAAGCTACGCAATGACCAACAATGACTGGGTTCCACATATCAAACGTTCTTTATCTCGTTGTTCATCAGTGATATTTAAAATCATCAAATTAGCACTCTGGTTTGGGGCAGCTATCTGTGTAGCATGCCTGACACAATTTTGGATACAACAAGAAACTGAAAACATACAAAAATTATTAGGATTCCAAACAGGAGAGTTAGGGCTCCCTGAAACAACCAGTTTCCTATGCCAGAAAAATTGAAAAGGTTACTTAGCTACTTCCATAAAGAACTTGGCTCTTCGTGGGGAAGATACGTGATTTGTTTTAAGTGGATAGCACGATCTATTACCTCATTGGTGTTGTCTGGTATATACACACAGCAGTCTTTTCCAATGAGAGCACAAGTCCCTCCTTTTGCCGCCAGCACTATATCTAATGCCTGATGGTTTTGGAGGACCATCTGTTGGATTGCCCCTGTTTCTTTGGCCAGGGCTCTTAAACTTTCTCCGGTTTCATTTGCCATTTATTTCAACTACTGCTTGTAACCTTAGGAGCCTTTTTGCATGGTGTATTACTCCCCCTAATGGTATGAAGGAACCGCCAATGGCCTCTTCCCAGGGTAAGGGGCTTATGTTGTTTACATACCATTGGGCATCTGTTAAGTCCCTTCTTTTTCGCCTGAAATTGCAGAGGCGTTCGAGGGAAGGTTCCTAGCACTCGGAATTGTGGGAAGAGTTGGGCAGGATAACAGATTCCTGACCAATTAGCTGGTAGTGCAGTATAAGCTCTGGTCCCACACACCCAGTAATGGCCTATTAAGGCCAGGAAGGGTCGGTTGCACCCATTTGTCATATAGGTGTTTGCAAAGGAGGAGTAGTATCCCCCAAAGGGTACAGGGTAATTCTCCTTACAAGGAGTAGTGTTATTTGCATGACATTGAAAGATTGTGTTGTTTTCACTAATGTTACTGTAGGGGGAACATGAGATTGATTTCTCTGTTTGATCCCAGGTTGAGAAAAAATTCATATCTCCATACGTGGCCCGCCACTTTTTAGTTTTGTTTGAATAATCCCATACACCATGGGCCACAATATGCTGAAGGCAACGGCTTTTCCCCATATCCAGCCCTGTCCCATTACACACCCAATACCAATGACCTTTTCCCTCCCCCACACTTCTCCATTTAGATGCATTTATTCCCACCGCTTCCCAAATGTCATTGCTGTTCCGTATTTTGTTAAACGGACAAGACCCACCAGTGAGGTCTGGGGACTTGAGTGGGATAGCCAGGACAGGAACACCAGTTTGAGAGTGGGCTGGGATGTGGCTGCAGACCCAGCAATTAGAAATATTAAGGGTCCGAGCTATCCACACCTGCTGCTGCTGGATAAAAGAATTGTCATCGTGGTCTCCCCAGACTGTAAGATACCAGCAGCCGAGGAACAGGCAGAGGCGCATGTTGGAGGCAAGGCTCTTCTAGTTCTGACAACCTCAACTGAGGGAACTGCAGTCAAGGTTTTACGCTCACCAGGCAGTAGGCGCTAGGCTCGCTACTGCATTTTTTTTTTTTTTTGTTCGTCTGCTTCTGGCAACCCTTACGAGAGCGTAGATTGTAAGGTATTGCAGACTGTTCCTCTACGCCTTCTTCTGGAGTCAAAATTGACTCTGCGTTGTCCTGAGGTGACAATTGGTTCTCTGGGGATGGTGCCTTCTTACACTGTGAAGCATGTATCCACGCTGCGATGCCAGATAACTTAACAGCAGTCTGTGTAGTAAGCAGTACCTGACGAGGACCCTTCCACTGGGGCTCCAAGGTGTGCTTTCAATGATGGCGCTGTACGTAGACCCAATCACCTGGCTCGCGGTTGTGGCAAGCGTCAGAGGTGGGTTCCGTGGGCCAGGCGACTCGAACCTGTGAATGGAAGTGACATACAGCTTGCATTAGTCCCTTGCAATACTGAAGGAGCACACTGTGAGTCAAGTTCAAATCTGGAACGGGAGTAATGGTAGTCATAGCTCGCATAGGGTGTCCCATAACAATTTCAAAGGGACTTAATTTATGCCTTTGGGATGGAGTGGATCTCATGTCAATAAGGCCTAATGGTAAGGCTACTGGCCAGCTTAATCCTGCAGAGTCACAAATTTTAGCAAGCTTATTCTTAAGTGCACCATTTCGTCTTTCAACTGTACCTGCACTCTGTGGGTGGTAGGGACAGTGCAACAGGTGTTATGCAATATACGGTCCAGGTGTTGAACAAGTTGTCCAGTAAAATGTGTACCCCGATCCCTGGACAGAGTAGCAGGAATTCCCTTGGCAGGCATAATATGATTTAACAAACATTTGGCAACAGACAGTGAGTCAGCCTTGCGACAAAGAAAGGCTTCAATCCAACCGGAGAATAAACATACCATAACCAATATAAATTCATATTGTTGACACTTAGGCGTTTGTACAAAATCAAGTTGCCAATGCAAGAACAGTGCTTGAGGCAGACCCCGGAACCCCTGGGCCACTTTTACAGGTTACCAATATTATGGCTTTGGCAAATGGTACAGGCTGCACAGCGGCGGGCTGCAAAAGAGCTAAAATGGGGGGCCCACCAGCCTGTCTTAGTTACAGCAGAAACCATCCCCTCCTTTCCGACATGCGAAACACCGTGTAGCAGGGCGGCCAGAGATGGGTAGAGTGAAAAGGGGGCTACAAAGGCGCCAGTAGGCGAGCGCCAAAGAGAATCGGGATGTAGAGAGCAACCTTGGGCAACCCAGGATTCTCTCTCGGTTTCTGGGGCAGAGTCTTGGAGCAGGGCGAGGTCAGTGAGGGGCCAGGAGAGTAAGAGGAGAGCAGAGAAAAAGGGAATCAGACATTTCGACTAGGCATGCTGCAGCAGCCACAGCATGCAGGCAGGGGGGTAAGCCTTGGGCAACAGGTCTAAAGTGGCAGAGAAATAAGCCACTGGTCGGTTCTTTTCTCCATGCATCTGAGAGAGAACTCCAAGCGCACACCCAGATTGTTCGTGGCAGAAAAGGGTAAAAGGCTTAGAATAGTCAGGCAGCCCTAAGGCAGGGGCAGAAGCTGAACCCTGTTTGAGGGGAAAAAAGGCAGAATTGGCCTCAGGGGGCCACGGTATGGGGTCAGGCACAGAGAATTGAGTGAGTTCCTGGAGAGGTTTTGCGAGGGAGGCATATTGGGGAATCCATTGTCTGCAAAATCCAGCCGTGCCTAAAAACTTCTGGACCTGGCGTGGGGAGCGGTGTCGGGGAAAGCTAAGGATAGCTTGGACGCGGGTGGGAGAAAGTGCACGGGAACCCTGGGAGAGGAGAAAGCCGAGCTATGTGACAGAAGCTTGACAGAGTTGTAGTGTAGAGCGAGAAGCTTTGTGACCCTTATTTGCAGTAAGGAGCACTAAAGAGTCAGTTTCAGAGGCAGACAATGAAGGGGAACAGAGGAGTAGATCATCTACATATTGGACTAGTGTGGACCTGGACAGAAAAACAAGGTCAGCAAGGTCTCGGGCGAATGCTTGGGAAAAATATGATGGGCTTTCAGTATACCCCTGGGGCAGTGTGGTCCATGTGTACTGTTGCCCCTCGTAAGAAAAGGCAAACAGGAACTGGGAGTCGGAGTGAACCGGGAGAGAAAAGAAAGCGGAGCACAAATCAACAACAGTAAAATGAGTTGCATCTGGTGGGATAGAAGCCAGAATCTTAGAGAGGCAAGTTTTGATTCTGTCCACGTATGATTTGCCTCTTCCCACCACTGCATGAAACAATCAACCTCTCCTTTTGCCAATTTAGTTGTAGGTTGGCCGAGTTTGTCTTTTAAGACGTCTACTCGGTCTTTGTCCCAAGATCCTAACAGTGGCCACTGAATTTTGGGATTCTCCTGAGTTAACCTTTTGCATTCCCATACACATCTTGTCCCCCCTCCCCCCAAGGTCAGCCTTTCGAAGCTATCCCCCACCCATGTCATGAGGTTTTCTGTTCACTAAAACACAACAATGCTAGCAGCAAGACGAACACCACAGACAAACAACACAAAACATAGATCCATGGTATTCTGAGTTATTCTTCTGCTGGCGCCAGCTTGCTTGTAGAGTCTAAAAACAAAAGAAACAATTTCCACCCCCCTGGTGGGGACAGATTATTGCTTAATAATAATACCACTTTCTTTTACAAATTTCCTTGTTAATTGCAGGAAAAACAGAACAATTGCCCCCACATTTTCCTGTTTTTGTTCTATAGGCAGGCCAGGTTTCAAGGGCTTTTATCTTTTAAGGGTTATGGGAAATTATCCCACTGTTTAGTCATTAAATCCCTGAGTTTTCCTTCTTATACAGCAGACCAAGTTTATAATGTTTTTCCTGCTGTGTTAAGCTTTAAGTTTTATTTACAGGTAGTAACTGAGAAGCATCATTACCATATGACCTTAAAGGGTTTTTCCAAAAATCATACACACTATATGTTGTTACAGGGATACTTATCATTAAATTTATTAAAATTCTCTTGTGATCCCATGCCTTTTATTTAGACAATTTGTTTGCTGACCAGGTGTGTCCTTTATCTGCAGCTCCTTTGTGCTGCTAGTTCTTACCTTCCTTTATCATTTAGGTCATTTACATTTTCACAGACGCTTCCTGCTTTTGGATTTAAAGCCATCAGCAGCTCAGAGACTATCTTAAAAGGGACACAATCAACTTTCACCAGAGTTTTGATTACTTTTAACTTCTGCTTCCAAAACGCACAGCAATCTGAAAAAGAAAACCCAACCTATTGTGGCTCCCTTTGGAGCCCTAATAGCATTTTAATTAAGTAGCATGGTATGTTTGCATTTCTTTTGCGCCTTCTACAATATACCCTGCACATGTTCTGGGGTAAATACACATTCCTTCTATCCGATGAAGTGAGCTGTAGCTCACGAAAGCTTATGCTCAAATAAATTGGTTAGTCTCTAAGGTGCCACAAGTCCTCCTTTTCTTTTTGCGAATACAGACTAACACGGCTGTTACTCTGAAACCTGTCATTCCTTCCATAGTTTAACTTCTATAACATTATCCAGATCCATTTTTACATAAGGTAACTATTTCTTTTTTTGCTTAGTTTTCATGTACCTTTATCAAAGTGACAGTCTGATTACTCAGAGCCATTTTAAGACTCTGTGTTTCTAACATTGCTTCTTTTTGTTTTGTGCACTTCACCCCTGCTGTTGCTTCAGAAGGGCAGTGTCTTTTTTTAAATTTTTTTTACTACAATTCTCATCTGCTATTTTGTTACAAAAACAAACAAACAAAAAGAATCCAGAATTTTTTTTCTATTCTCCTGATTTTGACTGCCCTGCTGCAGCCACAACTTAAAAACATTTTAAATTTTGTAAAAAGAAAAGGAGTACTTGTAGCACCTTAGAGACTAACCAATTTATTTGAGCATGAGCTTTTGTGAGCTACAGCTCACTTCATCAGATGCAGCTCATGCTCAAATAAATTGGTTAGTCTCTAAGGTGCTACAAGTACTCCTTTTCTTTTTGCGAATACAGACTAACACGGCTGTTACTCTGAAACCTTAAATTTTGTAAAGCATTGAATTACCTTTTAAGGATTAAATGCCAAATCCCAAAGCCAAACAACACTAATTACCGGTGTCTAGCAAAAAGGTCGGTCAGTTTTGCAACTTTGAATTAAAGAGTCAAATGGATTTTTAGTGGCATTATTTAAAACAAAAACAAAACCAACTGGTCCTTAGAATTTTACATATTTACACACACACAGACAGATACATACACTTTTTCTTTCCCTTAACATCCCTTCCACACTGCTCTCTTTTTTTTTTTTTTTACATCTTACATTCCCTTTATACATTTGAGGCAGTTAAGTTCCAATAGAACACCCTTACATCTTTTAGTGATTTTGATTACATTACCCCATAGTCAAACAATTTTGATCAGATTCTCTCGCTGCCTGCAGCAGTCCCTTTTAGATCATTTCTGTGGGAAAAGGGCCCATTTTCCCTCAGAGTAGCTGTAAAGGCTTCTGGGGACAGAAGCGTAGTGCTGGTAGTAGTCACTCTACCTGACCCCCTTAGCCTAGACCATTTTTCCAGAAATTTACAGGAGTCCGGACTCTTCCTAAAATACATAAACTGAGCCGGCGTTCCTTTAGGGAACTGTCCCGACTTAGATGTCTGGTTACCCGTACAGGAGGACTTTACACACCAATCACACAAGAAGGAAAGTCGGGTTCGTCAGAGCGATGCCCGGTGCAACATACAAAAAGAGCCCACAGGTTACTGCCTCAATCGCCCTTGCTTTCACACCAAGGGTTTTACCCAAGGCGCGGTGCAGCTGCGATTGTGCAGATTTCACTCACTCAGACCGTGGGGACAGGAACGCTTTGGTCAGCCGATCCCCAGACAGAGACGGCGCCCAGACTCAAACACACCACAAAGAGGATGGATAGACACAGAGACAAGACAGTCCTCAGTCTGGACAAAACACAGAAATAATTACCTGACCAGATTCCTGATGTCAGATCCCAGGATCCCTACCAGAACAGAGTGGGAACCAACAGGTTCGATGGCGTAGACTTCACTGTGGTCATGCACCCTTCCGTTCTGGCAGAGGACCGCTCGGGCCAAATGCCCAGGTGCCAGCTTGCCATGGCCGTCCTAAGAACAGTCAGGAGTCACACGGCCCCAGTGAAGACTGTTGCCATCTCGGTGGAACCTCCAAATTGTCAAAGTCAGATTCAGGACTCACACAATTTGTCAGACCACTCTGTTTATTAGCAAAGCGCCTTGCTAATGTACCCAGATGTGAGCCCCTCTCTGAGGCCCAAGATAACTTATTTATACAGCTAAGCCAAAGCCAATTTAACATAAGAGACAAAAGAAAGCAGAAACTGACAAATATACATACATATCTTATTTGTATACTAACGTTTACCAATCTCATAGCTCAGTAGGAGCTCTAAGTTAATTAGTTTGAGGACCCATTGTCTCACACTCCTTAATGTTTCTCTTCCTGACAACTATATTTCAACAAACCCTTCAAGGAGCATTTCTTTAATGAATTATAATTTCAATATAATTCATTCTACTTTCACAGTTTTACAGACAGGAAACTGAGGCACAAAGAAGTGGCGATTGGCCCATGGTGTCACACAGAATCTGTCACAGAGCTGGGAATTTGAACCCAGATCTCCAGAGTCCCTTTCCAGTGCCTTAACTGCCAGCTGATCCTCCCCCCCAGGATACTCTGATTACCATCCTGCTGTTTTCCTCTTCGGTGCTAACATGATTTTAGCAGCTCATCTCTCATAGGCTAGAGCTAGGAATTAAAATGTTTGTAAGCTGGGAGTAGTAGGTGGCCCAAAGAAGGTCACAACACAAATCAGTTGCAGAGCTAGTAATGACAGGTTTCAGAGTAACAGCCGTGTTAGTCTGTATTCGCAAAAAGGAAAGGAGGACTTGTGGCACCTTAGAGACTAACCAATTTATTTGAGCATGAGCTTTCGTGAGCTACAGCTCACTTCATCGGATGCATCCCGTGGAAACTGCAGCAGACTTTATATATACACAGAGAATATGAAACAATACCTCCTCCCGCCCCACTGTCCTGCATTCTCTGTGTGTATATAAAGTCTGCGGCAGTTTCCACGGGGTGCATCCGATGAAGTGAGCTGTAGCGCACGAAAGCTCACGCTCAGATAAATGGGTTAGAACGAGTAATGGAACCCTTGGTGTCTTGCTCTCAACACTAGACTGCACTGAGCATACAAAGTACCGCCAGGGGGGTGGTGGTTCTATTTATGGAGCAGAAGAGTTGGTTTTGTGACTGACTTACTGAGATGATCATGCAGATCCCAAAGCAGAGACTGGATGGCTTGGGTTCACTGGCAGCGTTCCTGACTTTTTCCATTATTTCTGCCTCATGTTTCCCCTTCAGCTCTCCAAGTTCCTGCAGTACATGCAACAGCAGAAGATTGTCCAAGTGAAGGAGCTGAACAGAGGGGTGGAGAGTATCGTGCACATAGACTGGAAACACTCTGAGTAAGTTGTAACTAATTGCACTGAAGTTGGTAGAGATAAAATGTGATCTAACAAGATCTCGCTGCTTTTTTTCATCTGAGTTAGGGATGTCAACCAAATTTCACCTCAGGTAGTTAGTCTGTCTACCTCAATTTCCCATTTAAATGGCCATGATATTCTTCACTGGTCCTGAACTGTTATGTAGGGGTCTCATACACTGTAAAATAGCTGCCACATTCCACCCAAGAGGTGGGTAAACTGTTCTGCACCAGTAGGCAGTTGGAGTGTGTAGACAGGAAAGGGGAGAGAGGGTGTGGGCCAGAGTGTCTGTTGTGGGAGGACTATTACAGTGCTGAGAAGCTGGAGGCTAATGGAAGAGCTAAACAGTCACCCCATCCTTCCTCACCCAGGAAACTATTGTGAAACTGAACTCCCTCTGTTGTTTTCTCTATTGCATTTCAGTATTAAGTCATTTGTTGTCTCTGAAGCATTCTCTGCTGTGTCAACGGCTCCAGAGAGTAAATGTGGAGACGAAGATCAGCTGTACCATGCTCCTGAAATCATACCACTCTATGGCGTCTCAACCAAAATGGCTCCACTTTTCCAGGAGTCGGGACACAAGTAAGTGTAAGGAAGATAGGATAAAGCCAGCATTGAGATAGGAGATGTAGAGGGAGGACCTAGGCCAGGTGCCAAAGGGAGTGGGGATAGTTGAGTCGTCAGCACCTTCCCTGTCAGTATTGAAGCAATGTCAGAGCATGCTGCTAGGAGCACTTGGCTGTTGGTGGGGACATAGCCTGGCTGAGAGGAATTGAGGCCCTGATGCTTCATCACCAGAGAATCCCTTAGCACTGTTTACCTGTAGAGGTGTGATAACTCAGGTGACCTAGCCAAATTCCAGACTGGGTATTTACAGTCTCTTTACGTCAGTTCCCTTTGAATTTTCAAGGGGATACAGCACGTTCTACCTTACTACCCAGCAGTTTAGGAGAAGAATTGTCATGTGCTGTTAAACAGCTGCCTTATTACTGTCAGGGGTGAGATTCTGTGCTGTCGTGCCACACAACTTTCAGCCCAGCAGGGGGGCAGCAGAGGTGACTTGAGACACTGTTGTGCCCCCGATTCAGGGCTGGAGCAGCATGCTGTTGTAATTTAAACAGCCTTTGGTGGCCGCTGGCAATCCTCAGGATGCGAGCTACTTTAGAAGTACCAAATATTAATACTGTTTTCAGAACATCTGATTTCTTAATGCAACACAGTAACGATTTCCTCCTTCTCTAGGAAAGGCAGCATCCTTTCCAGCAGCGATGTGAGAAATATTATCATCAGCTATGTAAAGACTAATGAGTTGGTTGATGAAACAAACAAGAAGTGAGTAGAAGTTAATCTTATTTGTGCATCTATTTTCACTAGTCAAGCTGAGCGCAGTGCAAAAAGTTAATGTATTAAAAAAATTAACATGATGTTACACTGACCAATTTACCAAACTACAGCACACGTGCACTGGACTTGTGTGGAGGCCAGTGTAGCTTTTAAATTAATTGGCCGCCAAGTTTTAGGGAGCTGAAACAAATCCATTAGTCAGGAGCAGGTCATGGAAATGATTACAAATGGTGGCATGCTTGGCAGAGAACATAGGCCCTATTTCCACATCTCTGGGAAGAGATAGGGCAGGCTCGCATCTAATCAGCTTGTTTTATTACAGCTTTGTAAAGGTGAATCCAATCTTGTGCGACTGCCTGTTGGATAAATGGGAGCAAGACGAGATCTCAAAGCTCAAATGGGATGATCTCCTGAGCAGGTGACTTATTTCCTGACTCTGCTTTAACATTTGCAAAGATTCAGAGTTAGCATTTAACTAAACTACTACATGATGCAAAGCCATGTCTACCTCTAAGCCCTGAAGTAGGCAGTGGCTTCCTTATTGTCAACATAAAAAGACCTACAAATAAACCTTAATTTGTAATGAGTTTAGTAGATACTACTAAGAAAGTGCAAGTTCCATTCTTTCTTTTCTTGCCACCTTGCAAATGACTAGTAATAGAAACGTAATACTTAAAGGGATAATTTTTCTGATAAGCATTCACAAGGCAAGTCTAACAGAACCTAGTTCTGTATACACAATCTGTTTGTACATACACACAAAATATAAACCTATTCTCTAACACATCTTTAAACTTATATTTAAGACCATTCTCATATATGTGCTCAGAACTTTGAGATACTTGACCGCTCCTGTGGTCTACATATCTGTGGAATCCCAGATTTAATAAAAACGTTATTGCCCAGCCTGCTGTATCTGACAAACTAAACTCAAGCCATACCTTTCTCAGGTGTCTGGAACAACTGCAGCCTTACCACCAGGTGACATTTTTTGGACACGAACCCATTGTGAGGAAAGGAAACCTTGATCCCATTGACATAACCATAGCACAGAGATCATCAAATAAAAAGGTAACGGCAGAGAGAGAGGATAGGGAACAAGTATGGCCGATTAACATCTCTTTGGCTCTTAGTCCATCCTGGAAGTGTTCAGCACTTTTAGGACAGACCCTGCTGGAGTTTGGGGCTTCTGCATAGCCATCCTTGCCCTTTGTCAAGGAGAAGTGGGCGGGTGAGTCACAGTAGCCTGGGCAGTTGGGAAACAGCTACAACTTGGCACAGGACTCTGGTGTAGTTCTGTGCTAATGAGCACCGGCTGTCCCTCAGGCCTGTAGGATAGAGCTCTGAGGATGAGTGCGTGTTAAAGGTGTTAAAATTCTTAACACAGCCCTGGCACAGTAATTATCAAGCATGTTTTCTAAAGACCCTGGAATGTCAAGCACATCACATTGTGTTTAAATGCAAACAAATGATTGATATTTTGCCTCCAGCTGTGCTTTTCGTAGTGTGTATGTATATATAATAGGTGGACCAGGGTTATACATTAGAACAGATTGTACAGAATCGATCAGATTTTGTGTATGAGCCTATTATGTGACACTAATGGGGAAACTCTTAATGCCCAGTTCTAATCAGAAAAGCAGGATAGGGTCATGACTGCTGTTCTTAAGTAGGTGGTGGTAAATAATCTACAAAGTGAAAATCTTCTTGTGACAACGGCTAAAATCCACAGGTGACCATTATTAAGAATCTTGAACTGTATGGCCTAGACCCGCAATTAGTTGCCAACACTCTCCAGCAAAGAGTACAGGCCAGCGCCACTATTAACACACTACCTGGGGCAAAGGACAGAGTTCAGGTCCAGATCCAAGGCAACCAAATCAACCATCTTGCCAAGCTGCTCCTCGGTGAGTTTAAGCCGACATGGACTGTCAGTTATAAAAGGTAAATGTTTTGATTATAAAACCTAGCTCTGGGATGTACTTAAGTTGGACTCTTCGTTATATTGCAGAGGAATACCAGCTACATCGGAAATATATTCAAGGGCTGGAGAAGGCTCCAAAGCTTAGCCGGAAGAAGTAAATTACGTCTAGTGTAAAAGTATTCAAATCTCATTATTTATAACCAGTTCTGCATACAGCTGTGGGGTGAAATCCTGGTCCCATTTAAGTCAATAGGAGTTTTGCTGTTGACTTTCATGAGCCCAGGATTTCATCCAAAGAATGTGTAATTGCTTTAGCTGTTCAAATTTTTTTCCCAATAAAAAATTCAAATGTTGTCCTCTTCCAGATATTTTACTACAGCGTTCCAATGGGTTACTAAATTGCTGGCTTGTAAACTAATCTTTAACATGCTGACTTTGCATGACTGCATATATGTTACCATGCTTTTTATTTTATGAAAATAGTCTAACACCTAAACAAAGCCTATTCCAGCACATCATGGCCTAGAATTCATACCTCTTGTAGTTTTAAAACCAAAATGTTTTCAGTTGTCAGCTTCTTTCTGTTTAGGTTGGATATTAGGAAAAACTTTTTCACTAAGAGGGTGGTGAAATCTCCTTCCTTAGATATTTTTAAGGTCAGGCTTGACAAAGCCCTGGCTGGGATGATTTAGCTGGGGATTGGACTAGATGACCTCCTGAGGTCCCTTCCAACCCTGATCTTCTATGATTCTTTGAAAATAATCTTTCCAGGGGCTTCTAATACCACAGACTAGTTGTGAAAAATAAACTAGGATTGTTTTCCCCCCTTCATTGAGCTTTGACAGTGTAAAAACCATATTGGACCCTACTCCTGCAACTAATTTGGTGTAAATATAAAAGGGGACAGTTTATTTTAAGGATTTGCTCTTGCAATGAGCTAAATACAGGCATAACCTCCATTGCAGGATCAATTGGGGTGTAGTCTTTTATAGATGGCTGGCTGACTTCAATAAGGGAAAAACTGTAACATGTTTTATAAACACTAATGACCTTACACTGAGATCTCCTTTAAACACTGACCACCACACAGGGGCACCAGACAACTTTAAATAAAACAGACACAATTTTTCATCATTGACTGTTTTATTATCGTTCTCTTACACTGTCTGCATCTGAACCAACCGTTTCAGAACTTTCATAAAAGCTGAGTGACTTTTTTAAAAATACCACAGAATTAACAGGGAGTAGTAAAAATAAATTACAGCATTGCAAAAATGCATTTCACTGTGCCACAGAAGCTTTACTATTCCATTCTATACACAGTTTTTACATGTTGTACAGCTGACAAAAAAAAATTCACACGTACACTAGGCAACACAATGCTAACCAAAGGCACTGCCAGCAGTATTTTGCGCATCTGAAGGAAGGGGGCTTTTGATAATGTCTAAAGCTTGTGCCTTTGGCACAGGTCAATTGACTGTGCTTTTGCATCAGAGTTTCAAGGGTTTCTCTTTAAATGCCCCATAGCCAACCAAAACAAAAACAGCCCTCCCTCTTTGCAGGAGGTTTTCAGCAGCATTCACCATAATTGCGTTAGAAGCCATGCCTTCTACAAAACGTTAAAGACATGCTAGGGGTCCAGAGGGTGGGATGGTCACTGAAGGAAAAAAAATATCAGTAAAAACACCCCTAAAACTTCTAGCCAGCAAGATGAGATGAAATTTAAAAAGATCTGGATCTTGCTTCTCAGAACTAATGACATTTTACAGTGTGCTTCTTTCTGCTCAGTCAATATTTGTACATAGTGCTTTCAAGGCCAAAAGCATTAAGTGCTAATTACTTATTGACCTCACAGTGTACGTATGAGGTCAGTAAGTACTCTCCCCATTTTACAAATGGGCCAACACCCAAAAAGCCTGCGATTTCCTGATTCCGTCTCTGCTACCGCACGGTTGTTAAAGGTCACCTGGGTAAGGAATACAGTACAGCTAGGTGGCTTTCCCTGCCCTGCAGCCCTATTATCAAACCTGTCTATGCTACCAGCTGTGAAACCAAGTGGCGTCTCTACACCGTTGCAGGCTTGCTAAGCAGTGCAGTCACTTTCTCCCATTTAAAAGATACTTAGATATAAAACTGGAAAAAAAACAAGCATAGAGTCACCCTGGGGGGGAAACTGACAATTCCTTTCTCCCCCCACTGCCCCCCAAAAATCAGCCTCATCCCTACAGTACTTCAGAGAACAGGCAGGGGGGAAAAAGTGACTGAGGCCTTTCAGAAAAGCCCTTCTCAACCCATGATCCTCATTAACTTTACAGTAAAGATTTCACACTTAAAAAGGCACTGAGGTAAATCTGAGACTCTTAAAATTGCCTTCTGTCATCACTTTGCATCTAGTGGACGCGGAACCTTTGAAGTGGAATCATTTCACCATATAACAAGTTTCAAGGGATGCTTTCAACTCAGGTCATCAGTTTAAAGTCATTTCAGGTTTTCTATCTGCACCTGCCCCTTTCCATGGCTTTACCATCAGGTTTCCTTCCTTTTCACACATCCCTTTGTTGCTGTACGAAGGATCTATGCAGACAAGGGAAAGAGTGAAACTGACTACACACAAAGTGCTTAATCCAATGCACTCAAAGGAAACACTGGAACAATAACCTGTTAAAAGTAACACCTTAGATTAAAGCTTTCCAGACTGAAGTGTAATTTTTAAGTTGGAGTCCTTGAACCAGGAGCTAGGACGGGATTAATAGCAGTAACTGTTGTTTCCAACTGTAGCAGTGTCCATTTGTAAAAGGCTAAGCTGTTTCTCTGAGAAAGAATGGAGGCGGTGAGTAATGACATTCTTGTTGCATTCTCCCAGCTCTAAGCACCACACGTGGCAGGGTGGTAGTCATACAGGGAACCTAGCAGCCTCTCATCTACGTGCAGAAGGAGGACAGTGGGAGGATGCGGAGGCTCTGTGGGTGGTTGGGTGATCGAGGGTAACAGGAGCAAAGCTGCAGGAGGCTGGGCAGTTGCTGTTCCTCTGCATGGCTGAAAATTGTGCTCCAGTTTCTGTATTGAACCATCATCCATGTTCCCACCTCAACCATCTTACATGTAAAAAGAGTAAATCTGTAAAACATTGGTCCCTGAGTAGGAAACTGGCAATACACAGAATAGCCACACTCAGCAGTAGGGAGCATTTGCTCTCACGCGGAGACTAGCCGACCAAACAATCCTAGTTTCACTCTCCTCCTCCTTCATCATCTTTAAAAATTCCCGAGAATGAACAGTAGGTAAAATCCCAGTGAAACCTACTGGACAGACTACGGTGGACTTGGAGCCTTCTTGGCATCTGACTTTTTATGTTTCAGTAGATCTCTTAGAATTGTGCAACAATCCGTTTTGGCATCAACAGCAGCTGCAACACACACATGATCTGGTGCAACCAACCCTCATTGCTTTATCTGCTGCTTCCTGTGGCACCACCTAACTTATGAAATGACGGAACTACACAACACAACACAACAACCACACACAAGGCAGCCGTAGCATCTTAAAACAAAGCCAACAAGCAAGTTGGTGGGAGGAGGGTGAAAGAAATGCAGTTCTATCCTGCCCAACATAATTACCCAGTAGATATTCCTATTTATTTAACATTCAGCCATTACCGTGAAGTTTCTCTGCTTGGCAACCCAATGAGACAACTGAAAGCTAAGCAGCAGCTCTACTTGGTTTATCGAGGGCCTGCGGATTTAAAGAGAGGCTTTCCATTTTTTTTTACTGACTGGCTGTGATCCAGCGATAATTTCTGAGGGAAAAGAAATGCGACGCTTGTCTCTTTGTGGGTGTGTCATTCCTCAGACAGAGGAACAGGGAGAAAGGGTCAGACAAATCTGAGGTGTCCTGAGAAGTCTCTTCTTTTTAAAAATAATATCTAGCTTAGTCTGGTACGATACGTGCTTTGTGTTTGGTTATCCTGGTTTTCCTCCTGCTTCTTTCAAACTCTCCTCCAGTCTTTGTTTAAACTTGCTGTACTTCTTTTGGACTTGCTGAATTTTGTCTTTTTCCTCTCTGTCCAGTATCATTAAGAAATTTTGTAGCTCTGGGATAGAGAATGCGTCCCACTGCCGAGAAAGCAAAAACAGAGAAGTGATATGAGCAGACAGAATACCACCTCCCCTCTGTTTGCCTGTAACATGCACACTGTCGTTTATTGTGCAGCTGAGTGCTCATCTTGAAAATCAGGGGAAAAGACACATGCTACCTAGCAAGGTCAGTTAGTTGGATTTCTATGTACAGAAAGATCTAGTTAACTGGCCTTGCAATTTGACACTGCAAGGATCTGTCCCCCTGATAGAGGGAGTCAGGAATTTTTTGAAAGCAATCACTTCAATACAAAATGCTGATTCTTCAAAACCAGAACTTTGTGGGAAAGGGGCAGTTGAGACAAAACGAAAAATTCCAGTTTGAAATGACTGTTTAGAAATGTAAACGAGTACTGTACAAGACGTTTTGTTTCATTAAAAAAAAATGAAATGTGTCCATTGACCCAAAGCAGGGTGGTGGGAGAGTGGGTTTGGTTAGAAAATTTAAGGGCCCCTTTCGAAAGTTTTCAAAAACTCAATTTTTCATAGGATAGGAAAACAATTTCCCAGTGAGCTGTTCAGATATGTACATGTCCCCGCTCAATGCTTTGAGATGGAGTCAGGAATCTGTGATCCAACACACGTCTAAGTTTGAGCCATCTGGGACTATGATCCCAAAGCAAAACCTGAATTTACCCTGGGTGGACTTAAAATTTTCCACTGCAACACTTGACCCCACAAAACACAATTTCCAAAGGGACTGAAGAAAACAGGCAAGTAACTGAGCTGTGGCATGCAAAAGCTAATGCAATCACCAGTGCTTTCTGTCACGAAGGGGGAGGGTCTGAACTACCCAGCAAGCCATGTTGTTACCAGCAGGGATAGTTCTACGTAGATTACTTTTAATTGATTGAGAAATCAACAAAAGATTGTTAGATATGCTGGGATGGAAACACCATAATGCAGGTTGAGAGGCCAGCTTCTACTCAGCGATATTACAAGTAGTGTATGTCTGGAAGTATCCCTGAGAAATACTGACATCTGGGCCATAATTTTGGAATTTAGATACATTTAATCCTGCTTTTTTGATCTCTCCTTTCTTAGGGCACGATTGCTCTTGAGTGGTGAGAGTCTGAACTGCTCAACTCTGTGTCAATGCCTGTGCTGCTTAGCAGCAGCTAGTCATCTTCAGCACAAGTGAGAGAGTCCTGAGGTTTCACTGAACACTCTCTGAAGTTCTAAATTGCCGTACGGTGTGGCATAAGAAGCCTTGGGAGGCAATAGATTTATTATACAGCATAGCATTGGCCTCTATTTTAAAATCAGTGGATTAGCTATGGCTCCATTTAGCTAATCTACTCTGAGGATTAAGTGAAGAACTGCATTGCTTAGTTCTATAAACAAACCAACACACACACACAAATGGATTATGGTGTAAAAACCTCAAACAGGCCACAGCATTTTTTACAGAGCCGGTTTTTAAAAACATACTAAGTTTTCTGCAATAAACTGATTGGTTAAAGGTTCTGAAAAACACAGGCTAAACTCAAGGAATCCTTTGAGATGCTTTAATATTGATTCTTAAGTGGAAGGTTGGTGTCTAAGTCAGTGTTCTGGATTTTCAAACTGTAACACAAGGAAGGTAAACTTGCTCCCTCCTATCCCCCAGCAAAAAAGCCATTAAGTTGTGTTTCTACTGCAGTAGGTCTCACAGGTTTGTTTAACAAGGCTATGTGGTTTTGTAAAGCTATGAACATTGGTGTGAGAGCCAAGGGAAAGACTCCCAGACATACCTCAACTTCCCCCGTTTCGTTTTCCTTCAGCACGAAACTGAGAACATCTGTGTCGGGGCCAGCCAGCAGCCGGAGATACAAGGGGTATTCTGTTAGAGAGAGCTTCTGGAAGAGAACTGCAGGCAGGGAGAGAGAGAGAGAGAGAGAGGGGTTCTAAATGAGCCTTTAGGATTCAAGGGCAGGAAGATGCTCAAGAAGTTACTGAGCAAACACAGCATCGGTTCAAAGGCAGCTTGAGCTGGACTTCATAAATAAGAGTCACTATGGGATGTATCATCTCCAGCAAAGGTGTTTATAAAGGGTGGTTAAAGCAAACAATTGCAAGTTGCAACACCTAGATACGATGTCTGCTGCTAGTTAGCTATGTGAGGTTGAGTAAAGGTTCTGTCCAGATTAAGGAAATTAGAATCAGTGTAGGGACAGACTTCACCAGTGCAGCTGAATCTGGTCATATATCCAGGTTAGCTGTACTGGTGTAAGCCCCCCTACTCCCTCTGCTCTGTACGGTGAGGCTTAATTAACGCTCTTCGTGGGCAATATACTCAGCCCTGGGTGTCTGAAGTGAGGCCCCATAAAGCCCTATTTAGGTGCCTAGGAAGATGGCCTCATTTTCCAAAGAACTGAAGATCCTGCAGTTCCTATCAGCGTCAAGAGGAGCTGCAGTGAGCTCAGCACTTTTGAAAAATCAGGCCGCTTGTTTAGGCTCCTACATTAGGATTTAGAAGCTTAATGTTATGCACCTAGTTTAGAAAGTCTTGGCCCAAGGGCTGAGAAACCCTCCAGTGAAAGGATCTGTATAAACACAAACTATCAGCAGGGAAGAGCCCACGCCACTGGCCAACGCAACCAGGCACAGGTCAACTGGAAGTTACTTAGTGTGATATGCACAAATTCATTGAATTGGCCCCCATCCCAAACCCACCTTCCAATCTGTCCCACCCCAAAGGTATGCTGTTTAGCCCCCTTTTTTTGGGGGGGGGGAGAGATTTTAACAGATAAAGGGGCAGCGATACACCCAAATCTCCTTGAATTTCAGTGGGAACAGGGCACCTAACTCCTTCAAGTGCTTTTGAAATTCCCACCCATAGTCTCCTCCACTGTTTTGTACCAAGACTGTCTTGCCATGACAAGTGCCAAAGAAGTTCAGCTTTCTGTGATAGTGTTCCTGTTGGATCTCTGATGGATTGGGGGGGGGGGGGGGGGGCAGGGAGAGAGAAGAGGCAGATGACATAATTATGAACCCAGGGACTAGAGGAGGAAGAGAGAAATGTCCATTCAGAGCAGCTGCATTCCTTGCCAATTATAAATAAACTTTTAATGCAATGATCTTGTTTATAAGGGTGGGTGGGTCATGATGATTCAGCTAAGGTTAAAACTCCAGAAGTCTATGAGTCAATTAGAATATCAGTATTTTTTTGCAGGTACCAAAGATAAAGCACTATCAGAGATCAGCGTTGATACACAGAAGCTAAATAAAGGAGGTGAGGGGAAATTCTGGCCAGGGACACTAGGGTGCACAGCAGACAGGACCATGTGGGAAAGACTGAATTCCATGCAGGTGGGTGTCCGTCTCAAAGGGCTGAGTCACCCCGAGGAGGATTTGAGCCTCTACGGTATCAAAATTTAGTTCATGGTTTTTAAAGCACAAAGCAGTCTTCTACGACTGAACTGAAAGTCTTGTGGGATAAGTGACTTCACGGCAGTGACTCGGTTTGTCTCAGTCTATAGGGGGCTCACAAGCTAGGTACACCCAGGCACCCAGGCCAGCCCTTAAGTGGCATCTCCTAGCTTCTGTTACAACAGCTTGCATTCCACACAGGTGACCATATTTGCATCTCGGCTCTGACACAAGACCCTGTAACTTAAGTGGGAGCTAGTTGGGGAGCTGGAAATCAGATCTTGTGTATGCCCCAGTGAACATTATTTGTTTAACAATGAAACCACCACTCCTGCCTTAGCCAACAGGGGCTGGCGCTGAAACAGAATAAGGCAGTAGGGTGATATCTGTACTACACATGGAGAAGGCAACCGTTGCCCAGGTATTTAGTATGCTGCAGAAGAGTGATTAAACCTTCCTTAGGTTCCTATATAGCCCCCTCTCTGTAATATCTGAGCACTTTACCGTCTTCACGGCATTCATCCTCCCAACACCCGTGGAGCTGCACAGTGTTCTGTCCTGTAATCTCTCATTTATATAGCTCCTTTCACCCTGAACACACCACAGCAAGTAAGATTATGTACAGACTCTACGCAGCCCCTGCTGCAAGGTGGCAAGTGCATACCTGGTCACAGAACTGCTCCACCACAGCTTACGGCAGGGAGTCACTTATCCAACAGTTGCAGGGGGAATTTGTTCGGCATATTTGATCATCTAAATTAGATTTGGGCCAGACCTCCCCTAACTCCTGCAACAAGTGACATTTGATCCTTAATGACCACAAGGAGTCGGGATCAGTGCGGTGGCAGGCCACACGTACACAGGTTGGCTATTACGGCTCTTCTCTGATGAGTGCATTAGTAAGAACACCACAGAGCAAAGCAGATCTTCCCTTGGGAAACCACTGACAGCTCTGCTATTAGGAATGACACTTACAAATGAGAGGAAACATGGCTTTATGGTTTAGGCACTGGACTGGGACTCCAAAGATTTAGGTTCATTTCCCAGGTCTGCTACTGACTCCCTCTGTGAGCTTGGTCAAGTCACTTGATCTTTCTGGTCCTCAGTTCCTCATCTTACAGAAGGGGCTGACTATCCTCCCTTTTTGTCGGTCTTTGGGGCGGGGGCTGTGTGTATGTGCAGCACCGTGCACAGTGCAGCTCAGTTAAGGCCTCTACTGTACCACAAATCACAATCTTCCCAACTGTGGCAGAGAGGGGAAGCATCTGGGAATTCCCCTCTCTGCACCGAGCCCCCATGGGACTGGCTGCTCGGAAGGGTGTGCACTCACCTTGCCCATCTCTCTGCATTTCCTTGAAAAGTGCAAACTTCTGAGGGTTGTCCACCACCATGAACTTCTTGAGGAGCCCCTGGATCACCTCGCTGACCGTGGTCGTGCTGCTGATGTGCAGCTGCTTGACTGCATCCAGCGGCAAGTAGAAGGAAGTTCTCTTGTCCGTCATATCAGCCAGGTTCACCTCCTTGAGGGCATCGTAGATAGACGGCGGCCGAATTCCTGCTGGCACCGTCACAGGCCGGCACAGTTTCAAGTGCACTTTAATGAAGCCCGTGTAAGTGCCGTCCTCATTCTACAGCGAAGGAGATAACGAAAGTCAAGTTTCAGTGAGTGCTCATGGGGCAAGACAGGTTTTCAGCCAATGCCAGTACCCCCCCCACACTCAAGCTGGAGGGCTTTTTGCAGTACTTAACCCAGTGGTAGACATGGTGGGCTGACTGCAGGGACAACTGTCTATAGTGCTTGAAACTTTCCTAGTAATAACGTAAAAGGAACTAGCAATTTAGGGTTAGTCACTACAGAATTCTTCCTGTTCCCTACTATTCAATAATGCCCTAGGATTCTTCGCCGCCCCTTTGCCATCTCATCCTTTGTAAACTGTTCCTGCTACAGAGAAGAGTTATGGAAACTAACTGACATTAAATACCATTTGTGCTTGCAATTACACTTCTGTCTCCTTTAACTGGAGATGGGTTTGGAGAGAACATGTAAGCATCTGAACTAGGGTTTCCGAGGGCTGAGCTGGATATGCTGGCTGTTTTCATAAGGTTTTAGCTCCAAACAGTTGCAAGCTTGCAGCTCTCCGTCTTAAATGATGGAAATTTCATGAGATTTTCACCATCCTGGGCCCGATCTTGAGATAAAGGCCCTTTACACAGACTTTATGAGAAATCTAACCCTGGTTAAGCATAGACAACACCGTGGGTGCCATGCTGTAACAAACTCTAAAACATTAGAACATCTGGAATTGATAGCTCAGGTACTGGTTCACAGCTGTCAGTTGGGGCTGAAGTGAGTTGCTACAGAGTCCCAAGACTGCAGAGATTACAGGCAAAAGATGGCCCATTTGCCTTAAAAGAAAATGAGCCAATAACAACTCCTGGGGAAGCCAGGCTACTCCAATGTTAATCCATGGGTCACAAAAGTTAGGAGATGGAAAAAGATCCCTTTGATGACTCCCAGGCTACTATAAGGGATCCCTGCACTAGTTTTTGTTCACGTCAGTTGTAAGTGATGTCTGTTTAAAGACAACTTGGGGCTTGTTTTCACAAACTGACAAGCGACTGGAAAACCATAAACAACTGAACACTGTTCTCTGAAATTGTAAAATCTCCATTATTTCTGTTTTTCCAAAACCTCCTTCACTGTGAGCTATGAGAGCTTGTGAAATTTGCTCCTTTTGTTAAATCTAATTTGTGAACCCAGTCCTTTCCTTGGCCTCTCAAGACTTACCAACAGGGCTTGGTTTACATGGTTGTTTTTGCCAAGCAGTAAACAAAGCTGCAGTCAAGGGCTGGAACTGTAAGCAAATTACTGTGGGTCCCACAACTTCGTTTAAAAGTTTGACCGTGGAGGAACAGAATGGCACATCTGGTTCCCCAACGGCTCTATGTCTCCAAACAGGCTGTGTGACAGCGATTGAATGGCAGTGAAGCAGCTTTCTAGTTATCATGACTCATCCAAGCTACAGCCTGATCTGTGTGTGGCAAATAGTTTGCGGAACATGGAAATTACTCTGAAAATTTCCGCACTGGAAAAAAAAAATTGTAGAACCATTGTCTGAACCGTGTGGTGGCTCATGCCACACAGACCTGGGTACAAATAAGGCTGGTGACTAAGCACTTTAGGTGCTGAAATGAGTGACAGCCCTCAAGTCCAAAGCCCTGTGCTTTCCATAGGACAGACCAGGCCTGATTCAAAGCCCACTGAAGTTAATGGACATCTTTCCACCAGTAGAGTGGGCTTTTGGATCAGGCCTGGACAGGGCAGACCCCAGCAATGCAAGTTTTCCTCCTTGCCTCAGCCACACCTCACCAGCAGGGCTAAGCAGCGAGTTCAGTCTCCGTGGCACAGTATTAGGCTCTCCTGAGACTCCCATTGAGGGAGCCTGGCAGGATGGTGGATTTTTTACCGTCAACACATGTCTCCAAGGAAGAAGCCGAGAAGCATCAAATTCAATTTACATAGTGGCTACTGAAAAGTCAGCAAGTTTCTTAAGACTGAACTTAACTGCTTAGCTGTACCGAAGGCCTTATCCAGTGGGTACAAATTTCAAAAGCACTTTAATGATGTAGCAGCTGAAGTCTCATTAAGTGAATTAGGCTCCGAAGGCACTTAAATGCTTCTGAAATTTTTACCCAGCATGTTTCACACTCCCGTCAATTAGCAGTGCAGTCATGCCCTGACACACTGCTCAGCAACGGGGACCCCTTGTGTTAGGTGCTGTATAGACACAGGCTCTTCCCCCCGAGGTTCTCCTACTTGCGTAACAGCAGCCTTGGACACAGTCAAAGTTAAAATCCAGATTCAAATGCGGCCCCCCGTTCCTCACCCCCCAAGGCTGGGCTGTTTAGACCCAAGTTTTTGATTCAGGCCAGTCTGTAGCCTTAAGCGTTTCAGGAGAAGACCACTGCTAAAATAGGTTAATACGAATGCTCTACTCAGAATTCATTCGTCATACTGCGGTTCAAATGCAAGACAAGCAGTCCCTGTACTGGGAACCGATGCAGTTAACACATCATCTGATTATCTGCCATTTACAAATGCAGTCGTGTCTATGCATTTATACCCTCTGTTGGCATGTTCTCCTCGCAGTAGGACCTGATTTCCTGCTGCGGTTTGGCAGATGAGTCAAAGGTTTTGGAGCTATCCATGTCAGGTGAACTTCACTCTTGTGCAAAGGCTCAGCGCAAGGCCCAGTCACCTCTAAAGCCAGAATTAAAAGCCTGTCCTTAGTGCCTAAAGTAATGTAGACAGATGAATAAAATACATACCAGCTTCATCACGAAGCAGTTTGTAACCTTGGCATTGTAACTATTGATTATCTGTTCAATCTCCTGGATAGTGGGAGCTTTGGGTTTTTCTTCTTCTGCTGTTTTTGTTACATTCTGAAACAAGAAATAAAGAATAGTGAATACCTTTGGTTTGTACGTCACTTTGCAGCCAGGAGCGTCGTACAAATTGTATGCTGCAAACGGTACACTCTTCATGGCCCTGCCTTTGCCAGGATATACATATAAGCACAAAGACAGACATAATCCCTGGTCCTGAGAGTTTATAATAAGAATGATGGAGAAGATAATGCCATTTATTGCTATTATTTGTACGGGCGTAGTGCCGAGAGGCCCAAATTAAGACCCCACAGTGCTAGGCACTGTACACACAGAACAAAAAACTAGTCCTTTCCCCAAAGAGCTTACAATTTAAGCAAGAGCCAACGGATGACTACCACCTCCATGAGTTGTCTGGTCACCCTCCAGCCCACTGGTGGCTGCATTTCAGAGGTGTGTGGAGCGATTTCTCCTTCATTATTAAGAATGTTCCTTAATATTTATATTAGACGCCCCAGACATGCAGCTACTTTTGGAAAAGGACATACTCAGTGAACCAGCCCCCTGCACAATAGTGTAGAAAGGGAAAAGTTTGGCCAAAGACGCATAACGTAAACGTAGACGCATAGGCCACCTCTTAGCATCCCCCAGCACCATTTTCACGGAAAGGTTTGAGGCTTCCTTAATTTCCCTGTAGAGTGAAGAGGGTTTACAGAGTTTTGCCCAGAGGACTTCATTAAACCTGCATGGAATTTTCTCAGAAGGGTGAAGGTATTTGGTTTTTTTTACCCTGCTGGAATTCAAACATATGGTTCCAAGGAATCTAAGTTATTTCAAACCTGATGCTTAAAGCTCTAAGCTGTCCCTTCTGGAAAGCTGAGAAACGCCACATGGGTCTATGATGCAGGAGGGTCTGAGATTTGAGCAGTCAGTAAGACAGGCAGATGGCTGTTATAATTCCGATGGGTTCTTCAGTGAGGTATTGATCCAAAGTGCTCTGGGTGGTTTAATGACTAGCAGACAATGGCTCCTACAGGCTGATCAATGGGGAGGCAAAGGAACAGACAAGCCACAAAAAGCTTTTGCTCTCACAGGGTCTTGGATGCTGCTGCACCACATGCTTCATCTGTAAAACATCTCCATCCGCCACATGCCAGTGGCCTGCAGCATCTGCATTGCAATGGGTGTTCCCTTCAGCGGGCTTGTCATATTTGCTCCTTGCAATCTTGGCTTCTGGCAGGCCCCGAGAGGAATATTTCTGGGATACGTGCTGCTGATGGCAAGGAAAAAGAAATAGTGGCTTTCTTGAGCCACTTCCCACAGCACGGCAGAAAGACATTCACTCACTGCAAGCATCAAGCAGAAGAGATTGTAGAGTTTCATGGAGGTGGTCAAAGGAGGCACTTGGAAACAAGCGGCACAAAATAAAAATCTCAGCAAGGATGGGGAATGTTTTCACCATGGAACAGACCTTTGAGCCAGCAGTCAACACAGGAGACCCGAGGGAGCTGCATTTATCATGGCAATTTGTGGGCAGCATCACCGATGCTTTCAATAAGCCCACGTGCAATTAATGAAACGCACAGAGTCCAAACTCCCTGAGAACTTGGGCATCTTTGTTGAGCATGACCGGAACAAAAGAACATCCTGTAGCCAACTGACTGCTCACTGCCATTTTGTATGGGGAAGTAAGGGTACTTCCCCCCTTCTATAAACACCAGTCACAGGAGGATCTGAGTGTGTTTAGAGCACCATAAGTGAGCATCACTTCACCCCCTACGAAGCGGGTAACTATCATAGCCTCCCCATCTGTAAAATGGAGGGAGATTTGCCAGAGATCACATGGAGTCAGCTGCAGTATCCCCAGCTTTAGCCACTGCACTAGCCATTGCTGCCTCAGTGGAAGGTACCACTTCATCCACCTGCAGCTGCCAAATGTTTTTCTGCCCCTCACCTAGCAACTGAAAGCCAGTGACTATTTTTCATGGCTCTGCAAGCATTTCCTCCATGTGCAGAGGAGCTGGGATGCCACTGACAGCAAGTTTATTCAGACAGAATTTGCAGTTACATCTACATTTGGTTCTTCCTCCAAGCAGTGCATTTCTAGCAGCTTTGGAGGAGTAAGTCATTACTTCAAAGCTAAAATGCAATAACGCCACATAAACAGTGAGCAACCTGCACGGCTAATCCATAGCACGCGCCTGCCCAACGTCCCCAGTAATCCAATCAACGCAGTCACAGCCTGCCTTGGAAGTCACTCTGTTCTCTGTGCGTGGGGGAAACAGAGGGACAAGGGCTCTTTTCTCTCCCTTTCATTGGTTTTGATGAATTTCCTTTTGCGAGGCTAAATTACAGTCAGATGCAGTGCGTAGGAGGGGTTCACAGGCAGGTCTTTTACGTAAACATATTCATTAGTCATTAGAGACAATCGGAAAACCACCTGTAATCAGGTCCCATCACAGACAGAGACACTAAAGAAAAACATAACTGGGCATTGAGAGCATTTAAGCAAAAGGGCAATAAACACTTCTGGATACACCTGCCATGAGGGGCTTATTAAGGAGGCTCATTAAAAGCCATGATAGCCTATTTGCACAGGAGTGCTTAGCACTCACAGCTCCCAGTGATGTCAGCAGGAACTGCAGTATCTTTGAAACTCGGGCCAGGGATGTATCGGAAGCAGGCTTTGAATCCAGGGGGCGCTGCCAGCTACTTCTAGACCCAATATACAGTGCCAGATCCTTAGCTGGCATAAATCGATGTAGCTCCATTTAAGTCAATGGGGCGATGCTGATTTACACCAGCCGAGGATCTTGACCTTAGAGTCTATAAAAATCAGCTAACTCCATTAAGGGAGGAAGGGGGATCTGTGGGTTTTTTTGCTTCCACCTGCTCCTCTGCAGTGCTCCTGCCGCAGAGCTTGGCAGGCAGGGAGAGGAGCCACGGGAAAATTGCTATACGGGCCCTGATTCCACCAGAAACCAGGGTACTCTGAGCAGCATGAAGCCTGCTTCTGTGCCCTACGAACCCCATCAGAGGGGTCATGAGGATGGTGCCAAGCAGGGGTCAGTGCCAATATGGGAGACAATTAAGTGCTTTTGGGAGGTGTGCAGGAGTCAGGATGCTGCCTTCACATACAACAGGTTCTGCGAGGTTTGGAGCAACTTTCCCTGTGCCCTTCAACTACCATGGGTTCTATCCCCGGCACAGCACCTCCACCTTGGCAGGAAACCGCATCAGGGAAAGCAAAACCAGGGAGAGGTTACAAATAAGTCCTCCCCTGCCACAGGTTTACATGCAGGAGGGAAGCAAATGCCTCATGTATTTTCTTGTCTGTGAAACTTCCGGTGAAAATCAGACTCTGCTCACCGGAATTGAAAATCTGTTGCAGCCGAGAAATTCATGAAAAGCCCAACCTTGGCTTGCTATCCAAGAGTTTACGTAGAGTTAAATTAGAACGGTCTATGAACTGCAAACTTTAGGCAGATTTAGGAGAACCAGGGGATTAAACGGTAATTAACTGACAACCACCAATGCTCTGATATTTGGGGAAACCTAAAGAGAGCTGGCAAGGCTGGCCCAATGAAATCAAAATCTCCCGAGAGAGTTCTAGGAAAAGTACTGGCATGTGAAGGCACTGGCAGAACGGACTGGGCTAAGCTGGAGCAGATGCCGGAGCCAGTGACACGTGGTCGTTCAGGCTTCTTGTTCAATGCGGTGAAGCTGCGATCACAGAAAACGTTGAGGAAAAAGATCTGCTCTCGTTCAGACAGGAATAATCCTGAGGAAGGTCTATGGCCTGAGTCATGCAGGAGGTCAGACTGGGTGATCACAGGGGTCCCTGTGGATTCTAGGACAGTGTCCCTAATGTCCTCCAAGGAGGTAACAGAACAGTGCTGGTTCTAAGTGCTTCCTTTATCGATCCCACAAGTGAATCCATGCAGCCAGGTCTTTGTGCTCCCAAAGATCCACGCACAGGATCAGCGCCATAAAGAGGAGCAAGAAGGAATGGAGACAACAATGAACGCAGGACTCAAGGCAGGCCATTTCCAGGACTAGGAGATGCACACACACTCTCCATCAGCCGGATTATAGCCTCGTCTCTGACCAAGCCTGTGTGGGGGACAGCGTCTGGCGTCATCGAAGTCCGCGTCAGCTTCGCAGCACGGTCGGTGGATGTGTGTGGAGAGGTCCAGGGAATGGTCTATTCCTGGCTCCTTGTACTGACTTTGGAGAGGTTAGAGATGAATCACAACAGCCTGACTTGCCAGTGCAGTTTTGTTCAGTGTCTTCATTAATGATCTGGAGGATGGTGTGTCTTGCACCCTCAGCAAGTTTGCAGATGACACTAAACTGGGAGGAGTGGTAGATACACTGAGGGTAGGGATAGGATACAGAGGGCCCTAGAAAAATTAGAGGATTGGGCCAAAAGAAATCTGATGAGGTTCAACAAGGACAAGTGCAGAGTCCTGCACTTAGGACGGAAGAATCCCATGCACCGCTACAGACTAGGGACCGAATGGCTCGGCAGCAGTTCTGCAGAAAAGGTCCTAGGGGTTACAGTGGACAAGAAGCTGAATATGAGTCAACAGTGTGCCCTTGTTGCCAAGAAGGCCAATGGCATTTTGGGATGTGCAAGTAGGGGCATTGCCAGCAGATCGAGGGACGTGATTGTTCTCCTCTATTCGGCATTGGTGGGGCCTCATCTAGAGTACTGTGTCCAGTTTTGGGCCCCACACTACAAGAAGGATGTGAAAAAATTGGAAAATGTCCAGCGGAGGGCAACAAAAATGATTAGGGGACTGGAACACATGACTTGAGGCTGAGGGAACTGGGACTGTTTAGTCTGTGGAAGAGAAGAATGAAGGAGGATTTGATAGCTGCTTTCAACTACCTGAAAGGGGGTTCCAAAGAGGATGGATCTCGACTGTTCTCAATGGTAGCAGATGACAGAACGAGGAGTAATGGTCTCAAGTTGCAGTGGGGGAGGTTTAGGTTGGATATTAGGAAAAACTTTTTCACTAAGGTGGTGGTGAAGCACTGGAATGCAGTACCTA